ACAACAATGATGAAGTAGAGCAGAATATAATGGTACAACATTGCCAGCGTTCTGAAGATCCATTGGTATCTATAGAAATGTTTTTTTTTTTTAATTTGTTTTTCTCCATAAACGTAAAATTTACTATGCATAATTTAAATTTAACTACATTAAACAATCCCTAAAAACTTAAAACATCGTGTTATTAATTTTAAACGTAACACTGTACTAACAACACAATTCATATACAACAATAAAGATAATCCAATCAATTTTGTTGATTGAATAATTCACGGCTTAGTAGTTGTGTAATCAGTGACACGTGCCCTCATTATTTTATAAGAATTGACATATCTATCTAAGTTCGATTTCAAATTCTACCAAAATTTAACTCTTTAATAAGTAGCGTGTGACGAATATATACAGCCATCCTGTGTGCAAATACGATGCCTATAAAGGGTCCTGAGTGCACTCAGGAGGTCCTGAGCAGTGTTTAGACGTACCCTTCACGATGATCGAAAAAAAAGTGCCTTGCATGTTATTTTCATCATCTTGTCTGAAACAGTCTGAATAATGAGCTTTAAGGCGAAGCGCGAAAATAAGTCATGTGAAATACTTTACGTTGTACAGACAAACCCTTAAATCCCTCAATGTTATGTCAAATGAATTATAGCGAGGAAAAGTAAATTTAATTTAATATCAAAACTAAATATTTGTTATACTTCGCTCCTGATTTCTCAAGAAATCATAGAATCAATAAATGTATAAATTTCAATTATGCATGTCTGTGTGAGATCCATTTCATGAGACCAAGGATTTCTATAAAATCCTTGATGGGACCCTTTATATATATATGTGTCTGATACAGTTTTCTATTTTCCCTGGAAAAAATTAAAAAAATATATAATCTTTTGGGAAATAATCCGATTTTGTTGAATTATTTCCTTTCATAATTATGATAAATCCTTTTAGTTCTTCAATTTTAAATTAAAATAAATATTTCATTTTGATCTAACGACAAACTTTTTAAATTGTAGTGGCATGGTCAGTCAACTGATTAGTTCCATGGCTGATTACCAGTTTATTGGTGACCCAGTAATTTTCCATATGACAGTGGCGTGTACCCTTGGGGTGTGTATAACTTATTTTGAATACCTTAATTTTCTGGGGAACATCCTGTCCACGTGTAATACTTAGTATATATTGCAACAGATGACATTAAACAATTTTCTTTGTAGCATCGGTGTCCATTTCATGTTCAACCACTCAAAATTTTCACAAAAAAGATAATATAATAAAATCATTAAAAAAAAAAATTAAAAAAACACTAGCAAATAAACTTCGCAATGAGTAAACGGGGATTTGTGTTTTAAAGGGCTTATTTCCAGTGAATATATTTTATACTAGATAACTAGACCTGAGATAACTTTTTTTTTGTTATATATATTTTATTATTTTCATATCATTCTCAAATCTCGATCATCTTAAATAAAGATGTATAAAAAATAATTTTGTTATAACTCATAAATATATGGTAAATCATAATTGTTACAAATTATAAAATGGTAAGTCAATGCCCGATGTGCCGCCGTCTGTTGCAAAACAACGATTTAATCTTTTAAATGAAAGACGTGCACTGCCTTCATCGGAATAGAGGAAAATCCACCTAGTGTACATTAAAGAGTATCCGTTTGTTATGCTGAAAAAAAAGAGATCATCATAAACTTTTTAGCAGACCTTCTCGTGTAAAAAAAACAAACTTTTAACTGAATTAAACAAAAAATTATCAAACAAAACTCATTAGAAAACTCATAGTAACATTTTGTTTAGACCTGAGATAACTTATAGTAAGATTATTTATATAGAACAATAAAAAAAAAATGTCCAATCTGATACACGTACCTATAATCTGGGACTATTATACTAACTATTTTTTTAGTATAATAGTCCCAGCTATAATGTACAAAATTTTGAACAGCTTCAAATATATGGCCTTATCATTGGTAATGTATCATATTTGTATCAGTTATTGCTGAACGTGTAACCAAATTAAAATGAAGAAATAGGCTCGCATTTTTTAAAGATATTTTTTTCAATCCCAAAATAGATAAGAGATATGCAGATAAATTAAAGTCCCGATGAGAAGATTCACTTTCTTTTCTACCGAAGTAAATATATTAACAAAGATTTTGGATATCAATAAATTATTAAATTCATCAATTTATTAAATTTGAACATGTGAACCAAACAACGAAAAAAAATAAACGGGAAATTGGCTATACCTTTTTGGTATTAGCAATGAAGCCATGTATGTACCAGCCATTTTAACTTATTGTTTTCTTAACCTTTAAAGAATACATTTTAAAATGAACTACTTTATTTATAGTAGTTCAAGAAAAATATATATATATATTAAAAAGTTTTAAATTTTGTCCATGCTGTGCATAAAATAGGGGAAAAAAATAAGGCTGAAAATGCACCAAATATTTATATTCAATATGAATATTCACATTTTGTCTATTACAACAATTTTTGAACAACTTGTTGTTGTAATAGACAAAATGTGAGTATTCATATTGAATATAAATATTTGGTGCATTTTCAGTCTTATTTTTTTCCTATATATACTATATGGCCTTCCAAATACAGTTTCGATCCCTAACATCACTGAAGAGACATAAAATGTCGAAATCCGGATATGGTGTACAAATTTTTGCACCTCATGTTTGCGGTATACCATCTATTCCGTAAGTTTATTGTTTTCTGTTTGGTATTTAATTAATATGTAAGATCCATTTTTTACATCTGGTGATCAATTTATTTGGTAATAGCCAATGGCAGTCAGCAGGGTTTAAGAACATCAGTTGTTCGACCTGTTAGTCAAATGCGTTTTGTTAAAATATACTTTTTCACTTTTTGGTCTTTTGGAAAATGTTGTTTATGCTGTATAAAGACCCCTCTACCAAGAAATTTGTTTTACATGCACACGTATAAAAATTGCGGTTTTTATCCAACGCAATCATAGGTTTGAACGTTGTTTTCAATTTAGACGTGTATATATATATATATATATATATACATCTATATTAGATAACTCTTTCCTTTATATTCAATGGAACAAGAAGCGAATTTGTTAGCGAACTAGAGTAACTATAGAAATAGCGTCGTTACAGGTCTTCTTCTGACCGGCAATAAATCCTTAGCAGTAATGATAGTGGAACGTCCATTGGGTTGTGCTCAGACACGTCCGAATGGGGACGCTGAATCCTTGCAGCAACTCTTCAAGTGGACTATAAGTAGCCTGGTATTAGACCAATTTTCTGTCCATCCTTTTTCGTTGGCAGTCGAAATTTTCCGACCGTATCACGGGCGGTCTCAATTACAAGACCTACATGTACCTATCATATATTATTCGGTACGTCAGACACACCCGACATTAATCAACCAAAAACTCAATATTTTACAGTAGGGAATGAATATCTCCAGATGAAGATTACATTATGACGTATGTTTTTTTTTTAAAGACCAACAAATCGATTTTTATCACCAAATTTGTCTTTGCTGAGATTAACACTAAAAAAGTATAACAAAACGTAACGATTGAAAACTCACAGTTCAGTTTTTAAGATATTTTTTTTCTTTGGAAACTAACAGACTAATTTTCAAAAAGTTTTTTTCTTGAACCATTATTTATGAAAACGAATTGTAAACAAAAGTTATTCTCAAATATAAATAATGATCAATGATTGTAAAGAAAAAAATCCATCATAGTAGTTTGTTAATTTACTGGCTCCATGGTGTTAAACATGTCACCTTTCTTTTACAAATAAGATTAAAAATATGAAGCCTTTACTGTAAAATAAATCATTCTAATAAAAATAAATTCATCCAGATTTTTCTCTCATAACCTTTCAACAGTTATTGTAAACTAATTTATTCGAACTATAATAGTCATATGACTTGCTGTACGTTTACCAATATTTATACTTTATAAAATGTTTTCATATTCATTGATCATTAACTTCATGTTTTGCGAATACTTATAAGGGGGTAATTATAATAGTCAGTAATAGCTAACAATTTATCTAAAGAAAACGAGATGCTATATTCAAATTCTGAGATATGAATCTAGTTCTTTAAAAAAAAATTCTCCACAACAAAAATTCTACACTTTCATTTATCTGGGTCTTTTTGTCTCCGCTTCGAAGCCGCCATCCCGTACCAGACATATTTATTCGTTTGGCAATATACAATCATGTAAGCAATATACAACAGGCAGTAGATCTGAATTTGTAAATTGTTATTTTGGATTTTACCTGATTAGGACGTGTCTCGTTGAATTTTCTAATAAACTTACACACACATAATCTGACTTTTAATCGTAATGTTATGAGATCTATAAGAACATAGAGCTACTGTATAGGCCTAGTTGCATGCTATAGTTTTTTTATAGACTATTTGTCATTTGGCTTTTTTTTTTTTTTTTTTTTTTAGTTTTTGACATGGCGTTGACTCGAGTTTGATATATTATGCATCTTTTGTGCTGTATTTTAACAATTATTTACAAGCATGCTGCATGTTTACACATGCATCACTATACCGCATCTAAATATAGCTTTATTGTAAAAAAAATAAGGAGATGTAGTATGATTGGTGATGAGACAACTATCAACCAGAATTTAAAATACCTTATATAAGCAATTGTGACTTACTTTCTTTACTCAGAGTGATCGTAAATTAATCAGATAAGCTGGAGGAGGGGTGGGGGCTTCATATAGACCCATATTAAATGAAAAGAAATTAGCATTAGCTTTTTGTGATAAATATATAATAAACTCACAGTAACAGAAATAGCTCTTGAAAGCTCTGTCAGATCCCGGCACTTTTAACTGTTTTTTGACACGTGCTAAAAAATGCAGCACCTGGTTACAAGGGCTTATTTGACAAATTATCATCTTTCGTAATCTAAGTTATAAAATCTAAATTTTAAGTGATCTAAAATGTTCATGAATAACGAGAATTTTCACTTGTACGATTTTTCTGTGAAATGAGTCTAAGAGTATATACATGTATATCAGGATACTGACTGCATAGTAAAATATTTATGTACCATTAGTTGCGACTCATTTTGGTCTTTTAAGTAAGTTTCCTTCCCCTGCATTACTTGATCGCTTTTGTAAAAAATAAACAGCACAACAACAACAGCACTCGACGTCAGTATTGTACCAAAAAATGAAAAAAATATTCAAAAAGAAGGCTCATAAAATTCAAATATTGGTAAGCACACACACTAACTTGTCACTACAGACATGATCTTTTTGTTAATGCGCCAAACTCGTTTCGTCCACAGGACGATGTCGATGGTGGGGAAAACCTAGTCCAAATAATTATGACGTCTTGCAAGGCTATTTAGGCGTCCCAGAAAAAAAAAATAGCCTTGCCAGTCGTCATAATTATTTGGACTAGGGAAAAACCAACAAATCATTAGTTCCCCAAATGAGTATCCTAGTTTAAAGTTTTTTTTTAATATATACATGATTTAGCTATTTCAAGGATTTGTATCACTATACAAATCCTTGGCTATTTCATATTGGAATGGCACATATTCATGAAAAATCAACAAATGATCTGAAAGTCGGAAAGATGAATATAGTCCTCTGACTTCACAAACTTGGAAACAGTTGTGATGTTGTTTCGCTGAGCTATAGATAATCGTACGACCATCAACAATGAGCAAAATTCACACCATATAGACATAGGTGCTTGAGGACAGGAGTCGAGATTCACGTTGATAGTAAACATGCATATTAAGAGTAAAAATATGGTATATTAGTATGTATATGGTACAAATAAGTGATATATATTGAAAAATCTAAGATTTATGATAATAAGGGGGAGGGACTATTTGGGGGGGGGGGGGGGGGGGGGCTCAAAACAGGATCCTGTCCTCAAGCACCTATGCATATAGAAAGCTGTAAATATAATAAAAGGCCTCGAAATGACAAATGTAAAACAAATCAACAAGAAGCCTTACATTTATAATTGAATTTAAAATAGAATTGAAAATAGAAATGGGGAATGTGTCAGAGAGACAACAACCTGCCCAAAGAGCAGATGAGTCGGTCACCAATGTGACTTCAATGCAGCGAGAAAATCCCACAGCCTGAGGCGTGCTTCAGTTGGCTCCTTAACAAAAATGTATACTAGTTCAGTGATAATGGACGTCATACTAAACTCCGAAATATATAAAAGAAACTAAAATTAAATATCATACAAAACTGACAAATGCCACATATAGGCTCCTGACTTAGGACAGGTGCAAAAATATGGTGGGATTGAAAGCATATATACTGTAAATTTCAGAAATTGTTGCATGCATTTATTAATATTGCCAATTAACATAATCATGATAATTTCCCTTTCAATTTAAAAAAAAAATTCTGATTTAAGTTTTTATTGTATATTGAGACTTTGGATAGTCTCAAGAATGCTTTCACCAATTTTTATGAAACTTTGGTGAATTGATTTTAAATATTGACATAAACTCCCTTTACATTTTTATGACCCATAGTCATGTGATAGTGAGTCAACCTTTGACCGTCTGTCCGTCTGTCCCAAAGTCATTGGTTTTTGTTCTCTAATTTAGTTTGCCTCAACCAAATGTTATAAAACTTTTACAAAAGCTTATTACCACAATACTCAGATCAAGTGTGAATTTTGGTGGTGTCAGTGTTACCATTCTAGAGTTATGCCCCTTTACAAATGGAAAAATTGCTGAATTTTTGGTTTCCGGCTCTCTATCTTTAACTTTAGTTTGCCTCAACCAAATGTTATGAAACTTGCACACAATGCTTATTACCACAAAAAACAGTTTGAATTTTGGTGGTGTCACTTTTACTGACTCAGTCTGTTCTAGAGTTATGTCCTTTATAGATGGAAAAAAAGATGAATTTTACGTTTCCGTCCTCTAAATTAAGTTTGCCTCAACCAAATTTTATTAAACTTTAACGCAATACTTTTTACCACAAAATCAGATCAAGTTATAATTTTAGTAGTATAAATTTTACCGTTCTTCAGTTATCTTCCTTTATAACTTTATATGATATGCAAGCCGGAGTATCATCCGCTATTTATTTTTATATAAGATGCAGAGTTATGGAATTTTAGTTGTTGGAAAATTGTTTAAAATTGTCCATTTTCACACTTTGGAAGGTTTTAGAATTGTATTTGTTCAAAAATCCCGGCCTTAAACTTACAAAATGTATATACACTTGCAATATCCCTTAAAATGGAGGCAAATTATTTTCATGTTTTGTTTCAATGAATACCACTCTGTGTGCATGTCCTTTTTTAGCTCATCTGGCTCGAAAGGCCAAGTGAGCTTTTCTCATCACTTGGCGTCCGTCGTCGTCCGTTGCCGTTGTTAACTTTTTACATTTTGAACTTCTAGAGAACCACTGAATTCCTTATGAGGTGCTGACCAAGAGTTGTTACTTTGTTGCCGATCTATCATCCAAGATGGCCGGCAGCGGGGTCCTTAGTTTAAGATAGGACCCTATAGGAAATACATACAAATGTCTTCTTTTAGAGAACCACTGAATGGAATGAAACCAAACATAGCATGAATGTTCCTTATGAGGTGTTGACCAAGTGTTGTTACTCTGTAGCTGATGCATCATCCAAGACGGCCGCCAGCGGAGTAGGACAATATTAAACCAAATATGGCCTCAATCATTATTAAAGTATCTGTTATGATTTTTATCTTTTTTATATGATTTCAAAAACCCAAATAGAGTCAGGTGAGCGACACAGGTTCTTTAGAGCCTGTAGTTTTGTTTTTTGTAGGTGGGGGGGGGGGGGGGGGGGTCTTAGTTGCGCAGTGCTCAGAGTTTTTCTATAATGTAGTTGATCATTAAAATTCATTTAAAGCATAAACCCAAGCTAAAAGGGCAACAAGCTTATCAAGCACTCATGGTACAGCTTTTTATTAAACACGTATTGATATATACATTAAACAGCAAAATAATTATTGATGCAAGATGTCATTAAATAATAATTTTTACTCTTTTTATGTGTAGGACAAGAACTATAGAAGATACAGAGAAATTATAAACAGCAGAAATGATAGGCAATTTAAAATTTGCAGAAGTCAACAAAACCTAAATGGTAAGTAAACTCATCATAGATACCAGGATTACATTTTGTATTTACGCCAGACGCGCGTTTCGTCTACAAAACACTCATCAGTGATGCTCGATAAGACTCATAAGGCCACTTTTATAAAAGTTATTGCCCTTGAAAGATGATTATCATGATTATTATAAAAATAAAAAGATGTGGCATATTAAATATGAAAACTATTGATCATTGCTCTAAGAAAGCAATTATAGGCCAGTGACGGCCTTCAATAATGAGAAAGTCCATACCCTATTGTCAAAGTAGTCAGCTATAAAAGGCCCTCAGACGAAAAATTGAAATAATCCCAACTGTAGAACTAATTGCCTAGTTTATAACAAAACAAATTAAAAAAAAATAAATATGACAGATATGAAACAACTACAACCACTAAATTTGAGTGTCAGAATAAACTACAGGCTCCGAACTTGGAACAGGCACAATCAGAATATGGCAAGGTTATATAAAAATAAGAAGATGTGGCATGATTGCCAATAACACAACTCTTCACCAGACAACAAATGACATACCGGTAGATTTCCTGCAAAAAAATAAACAGTCCGAACTAAGCAGGAAATGTATACCTTTCTCTTAATCGAAAAGACACAAAGATCTGTTAGTACTCACAGCTACTGACAGCTAGTTAAAAATCAATAAAAACTAATACATGTAATAAAAAAATCAGGTTTGTGAGCACTCAACCCTACCTTAACCTTGGACAGTGGTTTAACAGCTCAACATATAAAGAACAAACTGTAAAAATAATCGTTGCAATTGCCTCAACTCGAAAGATTGATAAAATGCACAAAATCAACTACCGGGGTAATATAAAAACCCATAGACAAAAAGCACGGAATTAAGAGAACTCACAAGTCATGCAAGTAAGAAAGGAAATATTCTTAAAATGTTCATAAACATGACAAAATAAGCTTTTTTATTGCTGTTTCTCTCTCCATTTATAACATTTTATTTGTTTATTTTGTGTATTTATAGGTGATCAGACATCTTGGTTTTCATGATCAATAGGTCAATACTGAAGAGGAAACTGAAAGTTGATATCTATCTACATGGTGCGCTAATTGGATGAATGTGAAATGGAATGTGTGCTTTCCTGCAAAAAAGAAATAGGAAATTTCATCATAATCACATGATAATGGCTATAAACAAAATGGAGTTCTATCATAGATGCAGAAAAACACAATTGTATAAATGCAACAACATATTATATATATTCGTCGAAAGAAGGGAGAAATGAAGAAAATAATAGTATTTTGTTGTTGAAAGGAACACCAGCTTTATCCACTCATTTACATCGCTCCCTCATATCAAATGTACTGAAGAAGATCTTCGAAGAACAAATTGCAAAAATGTTTTCTCTAAGAATTGAAGGAAATTGTTTAGTGAATGGAATAATTTATGTTGTGAACTTTTACGTAGTGAATTGAATAACTGTACACAGCAGCTGAAACAGAGGAAAATTAAAATTTACAAGAAAAGTGTTTATTTTATTATTTAATCTGCAAATATGAACGCATTCTTAAGAACTCCACAAATGGTATGACATTCAAATTGGTTGCTTATTAATGTATACAATTGAAACAATAACAAAGAAAACAGAATACTTTGCTACAAAAAATATTTTAAAAATCAAAGTTAAAGTCATATAAAGTATGCACAATACCTTGACCTAAACAGTCAGACTCACTATATTGTTTTTGTATGTCATGATTATTTTGAGTCAAAAATTTATTAAAGTTTAAATATCATTTGTATCATTTATTAAGTCTTGTAAACATTATGTTCATACTGTTTGTATAGTGAAGAAATTTACAATGAGTAAAAATAGGGGAAAGCATTTCCTACAGGGAAAGTTGATGTACAGAAATTTCCTTAGAGGAAATTTGGAGAACAATGTTTTCCTTAGAGGAAATTTGTGGTATTGAATTTTCCCTCAAGGAAAAGTGTTTGTTAAATATTTCCTCAAAGGAAATTGCAGTTGACAAAATTTCCTCACAGGAAAAAGTATTTCCTCCAAGGAAAATTTGAAGCTGCAAATTTCCTCAGAGGAAAATTTGAAGCCTCAAATTTCCTCAGAGGAAATAAAATTTCCTCAAAGGAAAATTTGAAGCCGCAAATTTCCTCACAGGAAATAGAATTTCCTCAAAGGAAATATTAATGCAGCAAATTCCCTAAGGGAAATCTTTTTCCCTTGAGGAAAATACAATTTCCCTTAAGGAAAAATCTTTTTCCTTTAGGGAAATTTGATTTCCCTTGAGGAAAACTACTTTTCCTCTGAGGAAATTGTTGAAAAAAGGGGCATAACTTTTTCAACAGTGGTGCTAGAGCCAAATTTTTTTAGGACAAATATCAGGGAACCAATACCAACCAAGTTATCAACTTCATTTTGACTTAACTCCAAAAATTAAGGTGACAACTTTTGCACTCAGCGGAAGTGCAAACTTGTCCCGGAGACTGTTTTATACCTAAAAAGAAAAACCGACATGACACAATTTGAAAGAATGAAAACCTGAAAACCGCCTGCCTGCTCGGTGGTAAAATAATTTACGAAAACAAACATGGCAGGGAGCAACATCCGATAGTCAGTGAGTTGTAGGCTACAATTTGATATAGACATATAAGAAATATTGCAGAGTTGAACTCATTCATAAGTGCTCTACCATCCCCTTAATTGTTGACAGCTGTTAAACTCGCATATGGGTTGCAGCTATAGTGCATATAAACAACATACTTAAACGGAAATGAAAACACAATACATTTAATTATATAACAAAATAGAAAATATACACTTAAGGTGGTACCCAACACCTTGACTAATATTTATTTGGCTCGTTTAATTTTCATAAAATTTTGACATAATGTTTACTTTGACCCTTTGACAAAAATATTAAAATTTCGAAAAATTTGAACCAACCACTTTACCAAAGAATTTTCATTGGTTATATAGCAGTTTGACAAACACTAATTTTGATCATTGAGAAGCTTAATATTTCCTTAACAATACAACGTAATTAAAACGTTTAGCTGATCTTTACAGAGTTATCTCCCTGTAGTGTTAGGTACCACCTTGGAGAAAAGAGGTAAATCATGACAATGTCCCAAGACAAGTCATACAAAATTTGTGTTGTGTTAGGTAGTAGTATACGACATGATTGGAGACTGCCTTACATATTATCGTACATTGTAATCGGAAATATACTTAAATATGTTTTAAGAAAGGTATGTCTTTAAACAAAAACATTAATTTTTTGCGACTGTATAACATGTATAACAGCAAAGTTAAACAATATTTGTGTTTAACGGCACAAAAATAATCATTATTCGAGTCATTTACAAAATAAAATAATGTTTTCTTAGGAGCACGTTGGCGACGTCTGGTGTTAGTTTGTACGTCAGCTGATGGTGTGTAACCAGGGTATGAGCTTAAATAAAAACTTTATTAACATTTTGAAATTGTATAACTGAACCACGCGAGTTACTTTTGTATTATTACATCAGTTTGGATATCCATTTTGTATTGTTCGCCACTCTTTTGTAATATGAATAGAAACTAATGAAAAGTCTACTTTAACAATTTTTCGAATTATGTTGAAAAGTAGATTATGTATATGTAAATTGTTATAATGCTAACATAAGCATGACCTGCCAAAACTTGATTTATGTGATACTGGCTTTATATCTTACTTGAACACTCTATGTACGAAGTTAGTTCGTTCATACAGCATTACTGTTTATATCAATTATATCTTGCAAAATTCAACAGTTTCGAATTTACAACTTTTTGCAAAAACATGGACATCAATTATCAAACAGACATACAACTTACTTAAAAAAAAAGAGCAATTAAAACAAACAATTTTTTTTTGTAATTTTCATTATATTTTCTACATAAAAATTGTTTAATCTTTAACTTTACTTCATTTCGCAACTTACTTTGTCAGAGCAAGCTCACGATGATAACTATTGTTTATCTAAATAATTTTGTGTTATGTTATTTTTTTGTAACTCTGTATGACGTTTGAAGATTTTAAACTTAATTTAGCTTACATGTACAGATTGTTCTAGAAATATCTCTGCACAACTACATATGTATGATATGTTTCTTCTACAACTTGCTCAGTGTCACTGCTTTTGACCTGTCAGTCACAGTCGATACTACCCACCTTGCAATTGTGCGAATTTGATATGATATTTTACTGAACATTTTTAGATCATGTATTATGTAATTGTAATTTATTAAAATTTGTATCTTACCAAAACTTTCAAGGTGACCTTCGACAACTTTTACTGGTCTGCTTACATCCATTAAGATTGAGGCTCCAACATGTTTTATGCCATTACAAATGTTGCTTTTAACCAGCGGTCCTTAATATTTTACATTTGAGGGTAGTTATTCCCAAACATCAATCGTTTGGACTACTATCAGTATCAAGCGTTACAGAGCAGAAGATTGTTAACTTAAACAAATGAAATACAAGGAAATGTTATGTAATTGATTTGAAACCATAATTATATTTTATAATTTAAATGTATGTGTATTGAATTTAATGATGTCAATTATTGATACATTTATCCATGTTTTTCATTCACATTACAAACTACAAGCAACTTACAATGCAGTGATACTTGTAAACGTATGAGTCCCTTTTTTCTGTAAAACTCATCTTCTGTCATGATCATTAGCTGACCCTGTCTTAATGAATGATCTAATGTGTCAAATACATTTATGTTTTAATTAGGTTTAGCAAATCATTTGAATAGCAGAAACGAAGGAACAGAAAGGTATTCTCTGTGTATTTACATTACCAAGTCATTATGTTCTTCATTGAACAGATGAAGATTTATAAACCTTATAAACATCTAGCACAGAATTTAGGTCAAGATGGTGCATGTGATCCTCTTGAAGGTAGGACAGAAAGGGACTGTCCCTAAGTACTGTAATCCTTTTGCTAGTTTAGAGATACACAGCAAAACAAACTTCGTAACATTCATGTTAGGTTTTTTAGCGACAATAATTACGATAATTAATATTGTTTTGTGATACATGTATAATCAAAGTGAAACCAACGTATATGCACATTGAATAATTGCAAGTTCAATTAGTTGTAGATTTCGTTATCTCAAAAAGACAACAGATATGATCAGGAAAGCATATAAAAAGTGTTTTCTTTCTCTTTTCCAATTGATTATGCTTATAAAAGGTGATACCATCCTTAAATATAAGACAGATAAACGATTGGTTATTAGTTTATACTATTACTAAGATCAATGGCAAAAAAAATAATCTTTTTTTCTAGTTATTAAGTATAAATTTTGTATAATAGAATATATAGAAGGATAACATCATACATAATCGCTTTCTCTATATACAAACTAAAAATTACGCCTGATATGATTAACGTACAGTAAAGTAACAAAATTAACAAACAGCAAAATTACATAATTAACGAAAAGCATAGTAGATATATAAATATATATGATGACTATTTGGAACACTAATAAATAATATATTTCTCCTTCATCATAAATTCTATCAAGACGTTATACATAGGAGTTAAGGCGTGTATTAGTATATAAAAGCAGTTAGGTAATGTTCAATAACCATATTATCACTGTACTACAAATGTAAAAATATAACATACACAAAAACATTATACTGACTTCATTAGTCAAAATTCAAAGGGTTTTATTTTCATTTAGCATTAACTACAAATATGAAATATTGTTAAAACAGAAGAATGAGGGAAACAAAAAACGTAAAGCAATTGGTTCCGTGTGTTAATCATTTCAAACCTGAACTTAAAGACCGAAATTGACATAACAGTCAATCATAATATTGCAGCAACTCTATAAAATGTAGTGTGCACGTTTAACTTCAACTAAAATGACTGTAAGGGACTGATAAAGGCGGCTATGTAGAAACATCATACTACACACAATAGTCCTTTATCAACGATTAATTAAGGATTATTCAAAGCTTTAATACAGCACATTGATCTTTCGTTTAGTCCCTCGTTCTCAATGCCACTTATGAACTAGTAAAAATTACGAATTTTGTCCATTCAATAAGGTTCAAATCGCACACCGAAAGTCTATGGACTTTTGGGTTCGTCAATCAGGTACACCGAAAATGGCCAGACTTTAAATAAATGAAAACAGTATCAATTAGGAAACCTACAAATTAGGATAACAAAAACTAACAAATTTATGCTAACACTTAACTTAACTAGAAAATTATAGAGTCCGAATGATGGAAAACTCACCCAATAAATATTTTACAAAGATATACAGTTGCCGAACGTGGTGACATGTTAAAATAATATGTACACTAAACACTTCGGAGGAATGCCAAATAATGTCAAAAAAACTCTCCCCTCCCCCAATCTAAAACTGCGCACATTTTTGTATTTAAGACGTTTTCAAAGACAAGAACGCAGATCTTTATGCAACCAAAAACACTTTAGCGAAAAAACAGGAAAACTTAAAAACTTTCCGAGATTAATCATTTAAAGATACAAAAACCCCGGCGGGTTTTCAAACTGAAAAGCGATCTTTAAAGAAATTAATTTAAAAAAACAATTAAGACATACAGTTTTTTTAGTATAGGATAACAACGAACCATATCATGATATATGTCGAATAACTTAGAAGACATAATGCATGAGTAGGGCAAATTATCTTGAGAGATTGCATTGTGGTAAAAAATAAACACCTTACATGCCTAGAAAAGTAATAAACACGATATAATTGTAAACCAAAAATCTGTATTCCACTTTTCGCGGATAAAATTTATAAGGCCTCTTTTGAAAGAAGATTAATTAATGTATTTATTTATCTAAATTTTAATTCATTTATCGGATTCTTGGGTAAAGTTGATAAACGAATCGGTATTTGTATAAACACTTGATAATAATAATAAAAAAACAAACAACAGGACCTCACAGTGTATTGATTTTCTTCATATTTGCGTATTTTGAAGCATTTGCTTCTTAATTTTTAAGCTTTTCTAAGCTTTCATGGAAATGAAGTTATCAAACTTGCTTAAACTGACAACACACTCAATTACCAGTCATGAAACTTGTATTATATTACTTATTTGATCAAATAAGATAAAAACAAAGACATCACATGTCTTTTTATATAAAATTTCCGTCACCAAAGATGCTAAATTACAAATCAATAAAACAATGCAATACATCATACTTACAAATCAATATTTTACATAATAAAATTAAATTTATCTTTAGCTACACACTGCGTTGAAACGTAACCGTGATACCATTTGGATAATATGCAAACAATTCATTAAACATCAGTAATATAACCCTTCTCAAATTATTCTTAAAACATCAGGTAATAAATCAACCTCGTATAACAATTGAAAACGGAGACAAACTCATTAATTGTAATTTGAAGACAATCACATAAAGTATGTAATATGGAAAACATTAAACTTTAGTTTATGTTAAGAAGTATATTAGTCTTGAGTAGCTATAGGCTATCAGTTACAAAGTCAATTACAAACTATTTTATTTCTTAATTAGATATAGGCTACCACTTAAAAATCATTCAAGGTTCTTTAAAATCGTGTACATGAATAGAATGTCAGTACATGTTATACAACAAAAGTAATACGCCAGATTCTCATATAACATATAACAAAATTTATGATTCAGCATAATTTTAGTTATAAGTATAAGCATACTTGGATTAATGGCCGTTCCACTTTTTGTCAAATGAAGGCTAAATAATTCACCAGTTATTCAAAGATAACGTTCATTTAAATCCTTCAAATCAATACAGACACAATCATAATGATGGAGTTTCGAAATGTAAGCATCTTAAGAATGGACCAAAGGATCACCTCTGTTCTCCAAAAAAGAATCAAATATAGGAAAAGAAACATCGTCTGTTTTGTCGTAAATTTAATAAATAGTTCTCCGTGTTGAACTAAAATATTCAAATCTAAAAAAGAGCAATTGACCCTTTTTGTTGTTTAGAAAGGATTAATTTAAAGAATGTCCCTTTGTGTTGAGTTCCACATTATTAAAGATGATTATCTAAAGAACACAGCACAATTAAATTATGCAATGTCATAAGAGAAGAAAGGCGGCACATACTAAAGGCAGTTTCACACTAATAAGTAGAACACAAATAATTGAAACCGCTATAGCACAAAACGAAAAGCAACAAAAAGACAACCAACAGTCTACAAAAGAAATAAGAAAGATTAAGCAACAGGAACCCCACAAAAACGAGTATCACATCACGTTTCGCTTGAAAAGACACTCATGTCCAAATCGTAACTATTTTGAAATATATTCACTCATTAAACATTTAAAAATCATGTTTTGTATTACAGGTGACTATAATATAATTACAAATATATAATAAGAAAGTTCAAATTCTACCTGCAATGGGAGGTGGTCTCAGTTCCGTATAATCGCAACGGAAAGTAAAAAAATAGTGTAAATGTAAAAATGATTCACAAAAGAGTTCATTGTTTGATTATCTTTTCACACTGATTGTATCACACATAATGTGGAGGTTTATGGGTCATTGAACGAATCAGGCGCATCGTTAGTTTCACAAACAAACATAGAAATTACTAGTCAGAACACTTTTGCTAACACTATTAATTGTGCTCAAAACATTACTAATACTTTATCTTCTGGTTTTTATTTAGTATTTAATCTATTGAAGGCACATCGAAAAACATTTCATTAATATTGTCAAATTGTTGACAGATCGAAACCCGTAGCGTCGATGGATACAGAACAACACTGCCAACAGTTCTCTCCGGGCGCTCCGACTTCCTCTAACCCCCCCCCCCCCCAAAAAAAAAAATTATAAAATTCTGGCCACCACAATATAGCCAATATTACAGAAAGTAACGTTAAACAACATGAACCAATACATAAATAGATCAATGATATGTTCATAATGCTTGAACATTATGTATATACCTTAGATTCATTTTACTTTCATTACATTTTCTGTTCGCTTCCTGGTTTACATACATTGTATTAACAAGATTAAATTGATTTGGTATCTTTGAAATATCGTTTCAGTTGATCTCTTTCTAAAATAATTTTTGATCATAAATGTTAACTCAATAAAGTTTAAACTTGAATGATGATATACTTTGATATACTTGGCGAAACGTATCTCCATTTGCGTTTGTTATACTAAGTTATTCATGCATACTTTTTGTTCGTGTTTATAAAGGAATAAGACTTTAAAAAGAATAAGATAATTTAAATGATTACTGGTTTTAACGTGTTGTAGTATATAAAGACGATTTGACATTAAAATAACTGCGTTTACAATATATAAACAAATCATTTTAACAAAGTGTACATTTGAAAATACTTTTGGGATTTAATATTACCTAGTGAGTATTTTATGAATTGTATGAATTTTATGAATTATTTATGTTACTTTTTAGCATTGTCGTGACGCAAAGACCATATGAATTGTTGAATCGTGTTGATATGATTACTACAGTTAACAGGCATCATAATTTTAGTATCATGTGTATAAATGAGATACAATTCACCAAGTACTAATTATATTATTTTTACATTTACCTGAAGGGTTCATTTAATAACATGTCGTTTTACAAGTAGTGCAACAATAACAAGCTAGTTTCCATGAATATGAATATTCAAAATTATGTCCAGCTTGCATGATACTTGAAATATTTAGAAGCCTTTTTGGCTAGTTTATACCATTCTCATGTTTTGAGTGGAGAATGGCGATCTCTCATTTACCATCATAAAACTTTCAAAATGTATTTTCCGTGCATGTCTTTAATTTCGTGTATGCAATCCTTTGGGATCGCCATTTTTTTACATTTTATAATTTACCTTCTAACTTAAAAATAAACAATTCTGACATCAATTGTATGTTCAATTGCTATGTTTAGAGTTTTATTTGAATATTTTGTTATGTCCCATTATTCTCATAGAGAAACAAAATCCTGTTTAGTACATTTCAATGATTCCAACCAAGCTTTAAAAATATTTTCAAAACATCTGTCTTTATTATAGTTTGGATTATAACCGATGGGGACTGTGTTTTATTGTTTCTATTTGTTTCTATTTCAATTTAATTTTCGTGGTCATTAAACAGTCAACGTCTCGTCCATATGACTTAATGAATAAATAAAACAATCACGACTTCACAAAAAATGCAGGATTATCTTGATATATAGAATAAAGGTGCTGACATGTTGTATCCTTTTTACATGTTTACACATTTCCCTTTATTTGTCTCTGTACTAATATGGTTCCTTGACGCGTCTCAGTATTGATGCATCCATCTTTCGAGTTTTGGGATTTGGACATTCCTGGTGCGGGTAATGTCTATAGGACGATGATGTTTTACTATACCGTAGTTATTATCAACTTCAAAAACTTTGTTTTTTGTCGTCTTTGTCAGATTTATGAGTGCGTTTGTTTGAATTTGTAAGTCAGTTGTGTTATATATCTATGCTGCTACTGTTTTCTGTTTAGCTGTCTGTGATGTATGTTTAAACAGGTTTTGAGTCTTGATCCCGGTTATTGTTATGTTAACTAATTATTTCCTTTTAGGTTGGACACTTAATTTGGTCAATATAACGGAACTATATACAAATGTCATACAATTTGGAGGTTTTATTTATATTTTATAGACATCCCCCTTATTGAATTGACATTGGAATTTGATTAAGTTTGATTTCGTAATGTTTTCTATGTCACGCGTGACCCAGGAACACAATAAAGGATTATTTCAAAAATACAGGATAGAAATGAATTACTGATGATCCTACAAACATTAAAAAAATTAAAAAACTAGTATGTCAAATGCTACAAAGAACTTCTTATAAAAGCTTCTCATACCCAGCTCCATCAAAACAAATATTGGGCCAACAACTTATGTTTATACTAATCTGAAACATTAACTCTGCAAAAGAAAATTATAGTATTACCGTCAAGAAATGTAACATATGCCGCGTTCAATATACGACCGAAGTACACAGGTTAATTCAAATCGATTAAAAGTGTAGACTGAACTTGTGTGTCTTAATCCTTAGGCAAAACTGCGAGGGTTACTAGTGTCGATGTTATATTAGTACATTTGTAACAAAATGTTGTGGGATATACTTTAACGAGACAGCAAAACAAATATTTGATATGTCTTTTCAGAAGCGATGAGACGACTTATGTTTCTTCTATACATTGTAACTCAAGTGTGTAATGTGAAGAGCCAGTATACAGGTGTGTTAATTTATATGTTTATCTTATATTTAGGTACATGAACAGGATTACGTTTACAAAAATGAATAAACGATTGATAAGAATAAAAAAATATGTCTGGCTTTGACCAATCATGAACAATTTACTAAGGCAACCGACGATAATTTTGTACATGGACACATGTTATGGTTACAGTTACTCTAGAAGTCAGTAATTTTGTAGCCACTTTATTTTTAGTTTCGACATTTGTGGACAGACTTAGATTTTTTATCAATATTATGTATATGAACATTTTATCATATAAAAAACATATAAACTGCGTCGGATGAAATTGACCTTATGCAAATGAATATCACATGAGGCAATGTTATGACTTTTTCTTTGATAACAGAGGGAAACGGATAAAGTCTCATTGATGACTAATCATTCGACACTTCGAAGTTTAAATGTCTTATAACAATTCACATTAACCTACACCTCATTATTTGCTTTTTCTCATTCACACAGAATGCAGTTCGACTATCTTCCCTCCATTTGCACCAAAAAAGAAATTTGGGTGAAGTACTTGTTCCTTTTCAAGCATTTTTGAATACAAAAATTCTTGCTATACCTTCAAAGTACTACCCTTCCTCGCCGCATGCATTCTATGATTTAGTTAACGCTTTTACACCCTAATAAGATACAAAAAGAAGCATTTCAAATATGCAAATATAAAGAAAAAATCCTGTTTTATGTGTTTATTTGGTGGTGTCGTCTATAGAGTATGGAAGTATTTTCCCTATTTCAAACTGGCAAAAGAAATTTAGAAAAAAAAAAAAAAAAAACAAACAAAAAAAACCGGATTCGTTGGAGTATATACTCTTTTTTGCTGAACGTATGACAATTGTCTCATCTCTGTCCCATATCATATATTTTCCCCATTATATGAGGAATGTATTTACTTTTTAAATCGAATATCTGTGATATTAATTAATTTAATATATAAGCACTGTAAAACATTATAATGATTTCACAACTTATTTGGCCCACCTATTTCAAAACATTTAATTGAATTATATTTATGTTTCTGCCTATCTGCAGGAGATCTCCGCATAATTGGAGGATCGCAAGAAAATAAAGGACGCTTAGAAATCTTTTTTAATTATACATGGGGAACTGTGTGTGACGATGATTTTGACAATATTGATGCAAATGTAGCTTGTAGACAACTCGGCTATTGGTATGTATATAATATATATATATATGTGTCTTTTTATAGGACAGATGGATTATATAGATAACATCATAATACGGAATAAATGTTGGAAATGTAATGTAAACTATGTACAATTGAAAATGAATATCATATAAGATAACAAAATGTTCATTACGGGCCTTAAACAAAGGGAATATTAAACTGTACGATGATTTTCTATTTACCATGCTTTCCCCGTATATAAGTCCCTCACCTGTTTTTGGGAAAAACAACTCTAATTACATACACTGAAAGGAAATGAAATAGACGCATGATGATGATGATTGTTTAGTGGAATAACCCTAATAAATTTATATATGAAAAACTTTGAAAGGTTTGTTTTAGTATTTATGAAGGGGGAACCATGTACGATGATCATTTTAGACATAAACAATAAAACGGAGCATTTATAGGTAATCGTTTGCTAAAGGAAGTGCAACTTGTATGTATTATAACAGCCATATATCTACATAATAACTCGTAAGATATATCTGGCTTAAATTATATACTACAGGCGCGTCTATAGTGTTCATAAGACTAATTAGCGATGCATGGACAGTTTTGTGACAAAATCAACAAGGACGTTGAAGAGCCTTTATAACAAAAATTATAAAAAAAAACAATGATTTGCAAATGAAATGTAAAAAATTACTTAATTTCGAAACCAAAATCCGGAAATCAAAGTAAATGAATCCTTTAGATAACATAGGAATCTGTAGGCATACAACAAGGTATTGAACATATTTACTTTGTTTATTAGCTTACTCATACTTCGATTTGAGCAAACATTGCATTGTCGGAATGGTCATGGTTTTGTTTTAACAAAAAAGGATGTCAGTTTGAAGTAAGCACTTTTATTTTCCATTGCTTCTTTTACGTGATACATCTGCTGATGTACTTTTTTAATTGCTGGAATTGTTTAACATTTAACTTCAGTGTCAATTTTTGTAATCAATGTTGAAAATACCTTGAATTCGGACTAAAGTCTTTTTAAACAAGGATCGTGGTTAAATTGACAAGCATTTAATGTAAAATTAAGTCAATTTAAAAAGGAAAATGTAGTTGACGCATTATCAAAAGAAGCTAAACGCCAAAAGTAAACGCGTTTTTTGTTTTGTTTCTCTTACATGTAACGAGTAAACGTGTGACATCTGTTTGAAGCGCTTGCTTCAAGATTACCTACTAGACACAAGTTAAAGACGCATTTACCTCCGTAGAAGCTTACATGTTATTCCTACCACGTAAACGTCATTCATGTAAAAGAGAGACCAACGATACCAAAGGAACATACAAATATGATAGTCGAAATCAATCGACAACGCCATGGCAAAAATCAAAAAAACTACCAATATATAAACCACTATATAAAGACTGAGCAATAAGAACCTAACTGAATTCCAGTAATAATCTCAGATGTTTTGGAATAATAAGCAGGCCCTTCTACACGTGTGACACTCGTCGTGCAGCTAATGTAAATATAAATCCGGTAAAAAGAATAATTCAGAGGGTCGGGCTAGAGGAAAAGAGAAAACATACGAAAATGAGCATAAGGCGTTTATTTGGCGTGAAGTCCGTTTAAAGCTAGGCCTGCACTCAATTGTATTGGATTGTTTATTATGTTATTTATAACAAAAAAGACGAAATTGGATAACAAGATGTTTTTAATTGCATAATATCTGTCATAATTTATTGCATTACTTCGTTCTTAATTTCAGTTGATTTCTGACTGTAATGTTACAATAACTTTTTCACATTTGGGTATGTTTCGTTATTATCCCTTTTAAATCGGACGAGTTAGCTGATTATTGAAAGTCTTAAGCAAATATGGTCTAGACTGTACGTAATAGTCCCGCTTATATTTCTTTTATTTGTTTGTGCAGTTCTGGCATCATGTGGAGATCCCAATTTGTAAACGATGGCAATGGTACGATATGGCTAGATGATGTGAAGTGTTCTGGAACAGAAAGTAGATTGATAAACTGTTCATACGAAGATTCCCATAATTGTCACCATGGTGAAGATGTTGGTATTGATTGTGATGTTGTATGTCCTGAAACTGGTACGATTGATAATTGAATCAATAGTGGCATCCTATCTGCATTGTTGTTATAAAAATTTGGAATCATTTTAAATTGATGTTTGTATCCCCCTTATTCATATATTCGATATTTTTGCCAGTTATTGCTTAATTTTTTTTATAATTTGGGTTGAACAGTTGTATATGGCTTTGGTTTTAACACATCTTTGCTTAAAGCATCACTAAAATGACATAACTTAAGATTGGTATCGGTAATATATTTCAACTTTTTCTAATTAATATGAATAAAAACTTTAGTAATTTATGAAAGCCTTTCACTACATGCACTTGATTGATTTAATAACATTGAAGGGATTTTTTTTCAACACTAAAATTTAACCATTGCTATAGGTCATTGTTTTGAACCGTGATTTAAAAAAAAAAAATAAACGCTAAAAAAAAGGGAAATATATGCAATTGGTTTATTTGATTGCAACAAACAGTCGCATACTCAACATTTTTCGATTATATCATTTTATTTATTTATTTGTATCGTTTACGATAGACACGGTGCATTATGTTTTCCGGTTTGTGTTTCCATTCGTCCGTCCGTTAGTCTCAGGTGTTTTATGTTATTGTTTATGTTTAAGACTGCTTACATTTACGTTGTTGCCACATTAAATTTAATATAGAATGGATATGGATGGCAATTGAACAACCAGTGGCAAGTTAAATGCAAATGATAAAGAAAACAAGTTGATGTGATATGAATTTGAACCCTGGTTTAAACTAGATCTGCACGGTGAGCCAGATTTTTAACGTGTTCATTAACATGGACACTGTCCATAAGAAGACATGTCACCCTTCGCGGACACACTATTCATATTATGAACTGACTATGATGTGCTATTACTTCTCAACGCGACGTGCTAAGGGATGAACAAGACAATACAAATTTCAAGTATTGGTAGGACCTGGAACGTTATTAAACTAAACATATTCTGCATTTGAGACGATAAGTTTCCGCAAGATCATGCAAAGAGGCGGTTAATGTCGATGTGAACTTTTTACATTGTATTAGAACATATAACAAATTACTTTTCTCACCATGACTTCACTGTTCACTGAAACAGAAAATTTGACACTGCGGGATGCTTGTCATCCATATGGACACGTACTATTGTTTTAAAAGGTATGTAACTCTGTGTGAAGTGGAAATCAAGCGCTTATTTTTATACTTCAGTAGACAAAAGTGTATGCACTTATTATTATATGGAAAATAAAACTTTTGATGACATAAACGTGTATCAATTAAAAATACTTGAGAATACCAACTGATAAAAATGCACATACTAAAATAAGACGTTGTATGATTGTCTGTGAGACCAAATCACATAGAACGTGGCACTTATATCACCATACTGCCTTTTGCAATGAACTCATATAACAAGCTTTAAAATCCTCGACATGACCAATATGATACAATTGAAATAAGAACATATGATATACAGCAACACACGACAACCACTAAATGACAAACTTTTGACCTTGGACAGGCATATACATAATGCAGCCGGGTTCAACATGTTGGCGGGCGCCTAATCTATCCTTAGCCATGCAGAGTGTTGTTACATAAGAACACACTATAAAAATCAGCTGAAAAATGCCTGTCGTAGTAACGGATATAATTAATGCTCAAGTATAAAGACACATCAAATTTCTTTTTTGACAATCCATAGGTGATTTACGTCTAACTGACAGTATGCGGAGGAACGAAGGACGATTGGAGATATATCTAAGCCATGAATGGGGAACCGTTTGCGAAAACGCATTTGATGACATTGATGCGGAAGTAGCATGCCGACAGCTCGGTTATCGGTATGTACAATGGAAGTGTAAATTATTATAAAAATAAAAAATATAGATTGTACGAATATTTCTAAAGCACTACCCGAGATTCAACGACTTATCAACGTTAATTTCTTGCATATAAAAATAATAGGATGTGGTATGATTGCCAACGAGACAAGGATTCACCAAAGTTCAAATGAAATAGATGTTAGCAATTATAGGCAACCGTACGGGCTTCAACAAACACAAAAACCCATACCGTATAGACCACGAAATAAAAAATATGAAACAACAGCGAGCTATGGTATAATCAAACATAGAAAACTCATATAGATGTGATAACATCATTATTAGTATCACGAACAAAACATTTTAGATACATCTTTATGAAATAATTTTCTTAATTGAATATATCTTCAATTTTATTCACAGTTATTTCATCAAATTTCAATGAAAAAATATCAGTATTGTTATGCCACTATCAAAGTACGAAGCTACTGGGTTACTAGGTTGATTGTCTTTTCCGTAAAATAGAAGTCTTTGCAGTAAACCTTTTTATTACATTACAGTACTGGAACAGCCATTCGTGCTAGCATTATTTATGATGGGTCTGGACCCATCTGGCTAAACAGTTTAGGATGTAATGGTACTGAGAGTAAATTAATTGAGTGTACATATAGTGATACGAATTATTGTTTTCATTTCTATGATGTTGGAGTCCAATGTTCATTTACCTATCCAACTGAAGATCATGGTAATAAGAAATTTATATTGATTTTTTGATTTTTTGCTTTTTTTATTATTTTTCAAATCAGTAAACGACTATATACGTATTCATTGAAGACAACTTGTTTTGCAATTTATTTGTAAAGGGCTAGCAAAGTTTCAGGTAGGAGTGCGCGAAAAGATGATATGCAAGAAAAGGAATTTCAACAAATATCTAAAGATATAAAAAGAGTATCGATCAAAATGAAAGCAAAAGGATGCCAACGGGACAATCAGGCCAAAATATACACTTCGTAGAAATAAAAAGAATGCGTAAAACAAATCCCATCAATAAAACAAAAAAATAGAATGACCATCGCATTAAAGAATATCTGGTTAACGTCAGTTAACATCCTTCGACCATTACTAAACCATATATGACTGTTTGAGTGCAGTATTGAATCAACATAGAGCGACCTAGAGTGATATTTGAGACGTAACATTCCAGCAGCGCCTGCATACGGAGTATATATCTCCCAATTGATACGATATTCCCGGGCTTGTGTTTCCTATCATGATTTCCTTGATAGAGGATTGCTGCTCACAAGGAAGCTATTAAACCAAGAGTTCCAAATGGTGAAGTTGAAGTCATCCCTTCGTAAATTTTACGGACGCCATCACGAGTTGGTTGACCGTTATGGAATAACCGTTTCACAGATGATATCGGATATGTTCCTTATGTCGTAACTACAATACCCTTCCTTTTTCACGAATGTGACTTACCGAATTAGACTATTTACCGGATTTGTAATAACATAAGCAACTCGACGGGTGCCACATGTGGAGCAGGATCTGCTTACCCTTCCGGAGCACCTGAGATCACCCCCAGTTTTTGGTGGGGTTCGTGTTGCTTAGTCTTTAGTTTTCTATGTTGTGTCATCTGTACTATTATTTGTCTGTTTGTCTTTTTATTTTTGGCCATGACGTTGTCAGTTTGTTTTCGATCTATGAGTTTGACTGTCCCTCTGGTATCTTTCGTCCCTCTTTTAGTATACAATATTTAAAACAAATCGGTATGAATCGATTTGTTTTCTTTTAAGGTTTTAATTTAAATCTGAAGCATTATTTCTAGAAAAAAAGAAAAAAAAAGTTAATACATTCAATTGGATGATTTTAAAGGTATAAAATTCTTTCTCGGAAAACAACAAACTATAGTAACACTGTATATTGACTTATCAATATTTCGAAAGTATTTGGAATATATCGTGAAAATAACCACTATTATGTATTTACAGGGAATTTGCGTCTTATTGGAGGAAGAAATGCAAACGAAGGACGATTGGAAATAAATTTGTTCGATGAATGGGGAACTGTTTGTCATGATTATTTTAACAATATTGATGCAGGAGTAGCTTGTAAACAACTTGGATACTGGTATTTATCTTTTAATGTCATTGCTGTGAAATAACCATTACTTAAAGGATGTAGAGGACGTTTGGCATGCCCTCCATTACATTTATTGCTGCCACGTCTAATGATTTAAAACAATACCTTATAACGCTAGTGCGACTGGATTAATCTTCACAAGGAACGTTCAGAACAAAAAAAAAACATTTTAAAGCCAATGATGTATAATTCAACACAAAAAGCCCAAAAGTTATTGTAAGGGTAGCCAAGTTCATCTTTTGTTAGTTGTGTCTTAGGCCGATATGATCAGTTCAGTCATTGCAATCTGATTAGGGCAGTATGTGCTGATGTTGTGCTGTTAAACCATTGTGTTTGGTTTTTGATATTTGAGCTTACATTTTAAACTGTTACATAGTGAGTGACTGCCCCAAGCCATAGCCTGTCATATTTGTTTATCGTTTATTGTTTCAACATCGACCAGGCTGTAGGTTTTTCTCTTATGAATTGTTACACATTTTGTCATGTCGAGACCCCTTATATCTTACTATATACGGTATAGGTTTAGCCTATCGTTCAGGGCTAACGTGTACCTGTAATTGATAACGTCCATCTTCTTTGGTTTACGAGGGAAGATTGTATAATTGGCTTTCATACACCATCTCTCTTGTCTAACGGAACATCAAACGGAAATTTTAAATATATGCTTAAAAATAAGTGATAAGTGCAAGCTTCAGATTTCAGTTAATGAATAAATAAATAATAAAAACAAAAACCAGAAATATAGATACTACAAAAACCGATATAGCCCATTACATGCAATTTTCAGTAGATTTTTTTCACATTTGAATCTTATTTAAAACCTCTCAGCAGATTTTAAACAAATTCAGAATGAAAAATGTTTATGGTTTTAATATTTTATTGTTTGATACTTTTAAAAAGCTTAGCAGATTGTAGATGGCTGAAGACCAAGACAATCAATCTAGCAACTAAATGGTTAAAATACCGATGAACGTAGCTCGCCTAGTCTTGTGTCAAACAATTGTATTTTGTTTTCGATCAATCATGGACGTACTCCCTCTGTGTCTTCTCTCCAGAATTTGCAACTGGGACTAAAACCGAATTTAATTGACTCACTGAGAAATAAAAAAAGAAGTGTGAAAAACTGAAATCTCCTAGGAATTTACTGTTTTCATGCGCCAAAACTTGTCCGTTCATTAAGAAGGAAACTCAAACATGATATGGAACTTCTTGTAATATTACTCAGTATAAAAGAGCAAAACATAAGATTGTTCTCAAATTTTGCACTGACAAAGGAACACAACTTCAAAAAAATGCATATGTTCCATAAGATTGAAGTTTGTCAATTTTCATGCTAACTATCCGGCATTGGTTTTTCTCGTTGTTGAAGGCTGTACGGTAATTTTTGATTGTTTTTAATTTCGTCATTTGAACTCTGGTAGATAGTTGTCTCATTGGCAATCGTACCACTTCTCTTTATCTTTATTTATTTATAAGTATACGTATTAAATAGAACAGTTTACCATCTATATTTCAAAATATGGCTACTAATTTTCTATTAGGTAGAACATGTATAGAAGTATATCATGATATAATTTGAAGGTACAAAGGAAGGACTCCTGATATATATAGTCGACGGCGAATTTTATCATCACAAACATGCAGATTTCTTATTCGCTATAATTCGTTATTAACAATACTACAGGTAATAGTAATTGGTTAAGAAAAAAGACATATGAATCTGGAGAAAATTCCTCAAAGCTTTGAAAATAATAATTTCTACCGCAGGCAAAGTTTACCTCAGATGAATTGGGCTATTCTGTTTACGTCCTTTTTGTTCATTAAGCATTTAATGTTTTATCGTATTTATGCATCTACGGCTTTCAAATAGTTAGATGTGAGTATTCCTGATGAAGATTAATCAAGATTTATCAAGCGCTTTGGATGCACACAATTTATAAGTGTGTATTTCATTTATATTGATCTCGAGATTGATGTAATATGGTACTTTTTTTTGTAGTCCACTGTTGATTTTTTATGAATTTTAACATTGTGTCCCATTTAGTTTGTATATATCAATCTGTGTATCTTGTTTATACATAATCAGTAGAAAAACTATCATCTTTCAATAATTCACAAGACATCATCGTTGATATGGTTAACATGCGCCTTACAGAATAAAAAAAGTGTTGAAAATATGGTTTTAGGTATTTATATCAATCATTTCATACATTCTGGGCTATTTGTATGCAATTGCTCATTTATAAAGCTGAAACTAGACAGTTCCCTGTAATAACATTGATTCCATTTAGTCTATTGTTGGATAAGTATCTCGATGTCCATCTACGACACCTGTTTAACCGTGTTTTCCAATCAACAGAACTTATTCCTATGATATTCCCTTTTTTAAAAATATCAAAATAATTTCTGATAATCATCATTTTAATGGTTTCATTTCACACTAAATGGAAGCGTATCTTATACTCATATTTTAATTTGTGTTTAAAAAATATACCTTAGTTTAACTTGCAGTTCCATAAACAAACACATTACAAACACATTCCAGTCGATTCACTGTAACTGAACTACGCATGGTTTGTTTTTTGTCAGTACTGGTACCGTATTGCCATCTAAACATGTAGATGATGGAAATGGAACAATTTGGTTAGATAATGTTGACTGTGTTGGAAGCGAAGAGAAATTAATTAATTGTTCTTATGATTCTTACCTAACTAACTGTGGACACCAAAATGATGTTGGCATCCGATGTTTCATCACCTGCCCAGTACAAGGTTATAATTTAATCAGTGTTTTCTTGAATTATGTTGTAAATAATAAATTGTATCAATCTAAACATTTGAATTTCAGTTAAAAAACGGGAGATACCAAGGGTAAATAAAAAAAGCGTAAGTCAAAGAGAAACTGACAACGCCATTGAAAAAAAAAGCCAGACATACAAACAAGTCCACAGAATACTACATTCGAAATTTAAGACTGATCAATAAGAACCCTACAAAAATAAGACGATTGCAGGTGTTGTTCCAAAACAGTTATCAAATCCTGTTACAGATACAATGACTCCTACTATTAATGACCACGACGTAAGTTTTTGTCTCCGTAAACGAAAGTGACGTCAAAGAAGAAACAAGTGGTTATTGTGTTTACCATATAGACAGGTTTTTTTCCGATTATCTGCCTTAGTTTGTGATGCGACTCCTAGGTTGCCATTACAACCGTGAAAAAAAATATAAACTAGATATACATCTATTTCCCTGACCTCATAAACACAAGAATGTGAAGTCGTACTTGACCTCGGCAAAATTATAAATGCTATAAATAATAAAGTAATTAGATAAGGATTGGACATTAAAATTATAAGTGTATTGCAGGCCAGGTGTTGTGTCCTTAAAATATAACTGTATTTGATACGTTACACCCGGGACATAATATATACGAATACTAATTCCAGGTTACATATCGATTATTATCATTATTTATTTTATTATAACACGTACATAAATAACAATAAATTGTCTTGCGGGTCGAATGTGATATATTGGAAAAACCAGGTGCAATTTCATCAAATCATAGAAATTTCTGTGGTCAGACCTATAATGAGACAATCCTAAAATTCTGCAATCCTCTTATCCGACGGTCCTATCATTCGACAGCCCGTTTTCTCCGACGCAATATTTTACAAGCCTTACTTTTGGAAATATGAAAGCGCCGTGCAAAATAACCAAATATCAAACTAAGTGTTAACCTCGATCATCAGTACGATCGAGCAACAGCTAATCTGCTATATCGTAGTTGAAAATTAAATTTGTGTAGTTATTCCACAAAAGTCAAGAAAACTTAGTTACATAAGTGTACAATAAGGCGTCACTGTCATTCATAATATTTCTATACGCTGACGTGGTTCCCCATTTTATTCAATTGTAAACTCCTTACTCCTCTGTTAACAATATTTTTGTCTGAGTTGATGTTGTCGGAATTAATGTTTGTCCATTTTGCAGCATAAAGATAGTCGTTATGAATACAAAAGTTCGTCTCTTCATATTAGGTTGATTTGCTTACAATTAAGACTACATGTAGCCTCGGGGTAGGTTTCATTGTTATTATCTAAAGATATGTGCAGCAGCGGATTTAGGGGGGTGCACCCCTTATTGAGTTTCATTTAAAGTTAATCGAAACTCTTGACCGCTTCCATTACGAATTTTGTCTAGTTTGGGGGCCCGCGGCACCCCCACCCCTTTTTCAAAATCCTGGATCCGCATCTGATGTGTGGATCTTCTATAAAAAAGGGCAGATGCACTGTAGTCATCGGATTTATTTTCATAGATTAATTTTAGTTTTTTTTACAGTCGTTTCACGACGTGTCAACATTTGTCTGCCAGTGTAATTTTACTTTCATAACAAGTTTTATTTAAAAAAAATAAACGGATTGTGTGTAGTCGGTGCACCACCCAGAAAAAAAATGTCCGGACCATACAAAAACCTGTTTATGCAAAGTTTTTCTGTTTATAGCCTTGATCTACTCAAGTTTTGTTGGCTGGTCAGAACGCATCAAATGAGACTTATATATGTTATATGGAATCAAACAAGGGCAGAGGGGCAGTCATTGTGCAACTCGTTGTGTTATTCAAATATTATTTTTTTTCATGCACATCTATGATTATCTGTACAACTATCAACTGCAAAAGAAATGCTTCCACATTGTCATAACTTTAGGCAGTATCCATAGTAAAATAAATCAGGAAATGAAAGAAATACAAATGTAAACAGAAAATCAATAATGTTTTGATCAATACACGTGCGTTATTTTTCACGGTTTTAATGGCTGATTGGTCACGTGAGAGGTTTCATGGATGCGCCCATGTTTTCAAGGTTAATTATAGATAAACCCGTCTATATGTTTCAATGCAAATAGATAAATCTTTCAGATTAATAATGATAGTATTGTATTTATATGACAATTTAATCAAGAAATATAATTCGTTTATATCCACTGTTATTAATGTACTGGCAATCATTAGATGTAAAAAACTTAATAATCAATAGATACACAACATAGACCTTTCGTACGATAACGTAATTTTGATTGATGGTGCATTATAGATTGACTTTGTTTCTTAATATGATGCTAGTTTCATTCGTATATATATATGGCTAAAACATCAAAACTAATGGAATGAACTTCATGAATAAGAACTGCTATAATAGGTTACCCAAAGCAGGAATCACGTACCAATGGATTTTTATTGAAACTTACGAATCATAAAACCAATATGTCATGTGTGTAGTTCATATTCATTTTACAAATTATGTATCCAATGGAGAATAGTGTGATATGCACACACTAATGAATTTTAGTGTTATGTCTACAAAGATTAGACATGTTATATTTGCGTATAACATAAATGTTTGTATTACACACTTGCAGCTCGGTCTGTTCATTTTAAATATATTGCAAAAAAGATTCTCTTGGTTTGATTTTTTACGATAGAAATACATACTTTGTTTCAACAAATTTCGTCTTGTTTTCTTGTCTTCGGGCTTGAATTATTTGTTTTTGGGGGATAAATGATTTAGAATAGAGAATAAAAATGGGGAATGTGTCAAGGAGACAACCCATAACCACCGATGGATCGTCAAAGCAGCGACGTGTTCATTGATTGATGGGACATGCATGATTGTTTTGGATTAGATGTTACTTAGTTGTAGAAGTTGACTGATTCATTTGTCATTTTGAACAACAAAATATGTTAAATTATTAAATCAAAATTCGATGAAAATCATTGATTACTTCTTTTTGCCATTTGTAATCTTGCAAAACCGTTGATTGTGTACACATTTGCTCAATGCTTTTAAATCCCAATAAATTACAAAAGAAGCATTCAATTTTCAAGTGAAACGCAATTTGCACTTTTTATTTTATCTATAGGCCACTTGCGTATTGCTGATAGCGCACAGGAGCACGAAGGACGACTTGAGATTTATATGAATGGAGTTTGGGGAACAGTTTGTCGAGATTTCTTCGACGATATTGATGCAACAGTAGCATGTCAACAACTTGGGTACTGGTATGTGTGTATTAAATGTGTGATTTGTTACACAGACAGAGCATACTATAACCGATATTATTTCAGAAGGACAAAACCTTATGCCCGTGATTGATTTATCTGTCCACTTATCTAAAACGATTAAATACAAGAATTATCTATCATTTATCTACTTATTCTGCAAAAACCGGGACATTTTTGTTTTGCTTTTTAAGTTATTTTATCATCGAATAATCTAATTCACTTGGTGATGATTGCAGATCTTAAACGTTTATGTTCAATTCATTAACAATTTTTATAGATTCATGATGAGTTGTAATTTGTAGAAGCACCACCAGTCTTTATTAAAGGCAATGTTGAAGTCGTTATATTGTCCTCTCGATGTCGTTCGACTATTAATATGTTTTTGAGTAACCGCTTATTAACGTGAATGTATATCAGTATTTCCATTTATGCCTATTAATATTTTTTCAACAACATTTGATAGTTCTGGAAAAGCATTGTCTTCATACGATGTAGTGGATGGCACAGGTGTTATATGGATTGATGATCTCCATTGTTCCGGTATAGAAAGTAAACTGATGACTTGTACCTATGACTCTAATACCAACGATTGTGGAACATACGAGGATGTGGGAGTCAGTTGCTCTTCTACTTGTCCAACTACAGGCAAGTTTGAATTCAGAATTTATTTCCCTTTTTACAAATTTTGATACATCATTTTCTCTAGTATCAATTATAATATTGCAATTTTAGCAAAAGATCAACTTAAAAAGTAAAAAAAAAAATTACAAACAGTATAAAACATTGATTTTTTAAAATCAATTTCGAAAAAAAGTAAGAATTGACATTTTCATTAGTTTAGAAGACGACAAGATAAGAATATAGACTAGTAAATGTCAGCTTGTGACCTTTATCGATGAGCTAGACACATACCATATAGTCAGCTATAAATGTTCCTGGGTGCCAAATGCAAAAAAGGAATACAACGGCCTGATGTTATCCATCAACAGAAAACATTATGAATAACCACTCTAACCTCCACTAGGCTAATAACAAATGTTGCATGGTCATTCATATATAATACTCTTAATTCAGAAATTATTATATTTGCTTAAAATATATCGTGTTATACTGCCATGCTCTTCGTTTGTATTTCATTTTTCACTTGGATCACTGTGAACGGCAGATAACAATTTAAAATTTGTTTTTTTTTATATCTAATGATAAAGTAAATGGTGTAGTTTAGTTGTTGTGAAAGGGGAGTAAACAAACAGTGTCTTCTTTTAATCATGTATTTCCAAAAATCATACACCAGCTTTGGTAAAGAAGATATTATTTTAGAACTATGTAATAACAGTAGCGCAGTCCCATTTTGAATGAAATAGTTCTAGTTGAAGTACACTCTAATTTTGTTGCTTTGCCTATTCGTTTCTCTTTATTACATCCTTAACAGCTACATTCCCCGTACAGGTAACTGATGTACGACTTTTCTGCATAGTATTGGTTCTTATTGTTTGCTATTAATCTTCAACATGTCAATGGAAATAATTTTGATTATGGCAAATCTGACTCATTAATGTTCTCTTGTTCCTACATGTCCTATTTTGATACCAACTAGTATATGTGTGTTGTATAATAGAGACGATATGATACGGGGTATCTCTATTTATCTATACAATCTGAATCTGACATAAATCAGTGCCAGACTGTATCTCTCGATGCTTGTACTTTGGTACAGAAAACGTTTTGCATTACGATAATTGTACTTTTGTGGCTGTGAATGCAACAATAATAGATCTGCCCTGACCTATCCTTGTAGTATAAAGACATATTGATTTATCACTATAAATTAATTTCATGTTTACATTTTTTGTTTGCATTGTTTTATTGTTATCAAAAAGTTTATTTCACTGCCCAGCCTGATACTATTACTTTCACAGCTGATAAGGATTAGACCGTTGGTTTTCCTGTTTGAATTATTTTACACTAGTCATGTTGGGGCCCAGTATAGCTTGCTGTTCGGTGTGAGCCAAGGCTCCGTGTTGAAGTTCGTACTTTGACCTATACTTGTTTACTTTTTACACATTGTGACTTGGATTGAGAGTTGTCTCATTGGCATTCATGCCTCATTATCTTATTTTTGTTATAGAGAACCTTTGCTTGTTTCCTGTATCCACATTAAAATGTATCAACACAAACCTCTGCAACATGTGGAGCAGAAAGTGCTTATCCTTCTTGATCACCTTAGGTCAGCCCTGATTTTATTAAAAAGGTTCTAATTGCTTTGCTTTTGTTTCTTTTGTTTTGTATTTTATGATACTTAAAATGTTCAATATCTGCGTTGACACTACTGGTACACGTATTGTTCATCGATCGTCCGTTAAAAACACACGTTTCATTTCAAACGTTTACAGTCGGCCAAGTCTAAGATTAAGATACTTTAACTGTATCGACATATTTTGTAATTTGTGATTTTTTTTGTGAAGACAAAAAAATTAATCAATGCCTTATCACTGGACATGAGTATGAACTATTTTAAACAAGATGTCAACGTCGGATATCACACACACCCTTCCGGAACTCTTGAGTTCAACCCCTGTTTTAGGTGTGATTCGTTTCTATCTTTAGCTTTTGTGTAAGGTTTGATTATTGTAGTTTGTCTATTTTTTGTTCTTTTTAATTTTGAATTTAATATCTGTTTTGATTGGACTTCTGATTGCACTCTTGGTATCATCCTTTCTTTTTTTATATAATGTGTATATGCATACGCCAAACAGTTGTTGTTTTCGTTTTATACAATAGTCAATGGAGGTTGGAGTATGTGGTCTCCCTGGAGTGCCTGCTTTTGTGGAAGTCACCAGTTTCGAACACGTAATTGCACCAATCCGACACCTATGTATGGAGGACGGTATTGTGAAGGTTATCCCGCAGAGCAAAGAAACTGCAGTAGCTTCTGTTATTCAAGTAGGTAACAGTTAGCATAGTTACCATATTGTAGAATGTTTATGTTGTTTGATAAAAGATACCGAATGATATTAAAACAATTGAGGGCAAAACAAAAATGTCCGTCATACTGTTAAAATGTATATTGTAAAATACATGACAACATACGATATTGCAATTTTATGTTCAGAAACTATCAACATGAAAATAAAATTAAAAGAAGTCAGTACAAGATATTATGTATTTTATTGCACTAATATAACATTTGAACGTGTATTCTTCTAACAAAGTATCATTATATTTATGAGTACTAACACACACACACATATGTATATATATATATATATATATATATATATATATATATATATATATTGAAAAGTTTTAAATTTTGTCCACGCTGTGCATAAAATAGGAATTATTTTTTTCCTATATATATATATATATATATATATATATATTTATTTAAAGATCTACATGAATTTGTGGAACAGGTTTTTTTTATGTATTTTAAAACGAAAGGAATGTTTAATAGTTGAAATAATATTGTTGCAGGTTATATGATAAAATCTTAATAATCTAATACATTGTTGAAAACATAAAAACATCAAACTTATTATATGATAGTAAAGTATAATGTTTATACTTTAAATTCCTGTTTTAAGCATATTTATTTGAATATATTCGAAAATAATTTAGCATGGAAGAATTATTTTTGTTGCTTTATAATACATTTATTATATTTTCTTTTTCAGGTAACAACAGTTAACAAAACGCCATAAATCGATAATGATTATTATTATCAGTTACATATAAAAGGGTTCACATTTATATTGTTTTCTTATTCAAATTTTACTCCCACATTGTCTAATGTATATGCTAAAGCAAATAAAATAAATAGTACATGTATACTTTATTTCCTATCTCTCAATAAATTATCATAGCTGTTTTCATATGACCACTCAACTATGTTAAAATTAGGAATAATTTATCCTAGCTCGAGGTAGAAACCATTATATTTGCAATCTAAATAGCAAGTGCTATTTTTTAGATGAAAGTTGTACTGTTATGGCAATGCGATTCTGCTATATGAAAAAAGGTTGATGTACCTTACAAGTATGTATGCATCAAAACAAAGAGAGAACCAAGGATTGAAAGTTTGAATATGCAAATAAGATCTTGATGTTCACTTACCTGAGAGACGATGTTCATTAACCTGAGAAACGATGTTCACTAATCTGAGAGACGATGTTCACTTATCTGAGAGACGATGTTCACTAATCTGAGAGACGATGTTCACTCATCTGAGAGACGATGTTCACTATTCTGAGAGACGATGTTCACTTATCTGAGAGACGATGTTCACTAATCTGAGAGACGATGTTCACTCATCTGAGAGACGATGTTCACTCATCTGAGAGACGATGTTCACTTATCTGAGAGACGATGTTCACTCATCTGAGAGACGATGTTCACTCATCTGAGAGACGATTTTCACTTATCTGAGAGACGATGTTCACTAATCTGATAGACGATGTTCATTAATCTGAGAGACGATGTTCACTTATCTGAGAGACGATGTTCACTTATCTGAGAGACGATGTTCGCTAATCTGAGAGACGATGTCCACTAATCAGATAGACAGTGCTGGATTACTTCTCCTCAACCTAACAGTTTTATAATGGTAAATTGCATCAATTATGTTTTTTATTAAGTTTATCTCTGAGTCGTTCATTTAACAATATATAGGAATATCACTGCAGTATAGTAATGCTAACATAAGTATAGGCTAGCAATTGGATAAAACATCTTGAACCATGTATTATGCATACAATTTATAATCTAACCATAACGTTTTAATGTCAGTTAGTGACTGCAACACCTGTTTCTTGGATATATCATTTATACCAACCTTTCTAAATTTACAAAATTGGTCTTATCTAAAATATCGGTTTTATAAAGAATTAAAACCATAACAGAATTACGTTACCGCACCTAACCGAGTCAATAGAAGAAAAACATTACTGTCGAAGTCTTGTTACTTTTTTTAATAGCATCAAAATGGTCGACATTCTACTCTACAAAGGTGAATAACCTTCAGTCTAATTGTTTTTATATTCTCTAATGTCAATGAGATATTGACAACAATTATCAAATTTGAACATGTTTGGTGACGACTAACACAAGAAATGAACCCAGTATCAATGTCACCACAAATTTCAATTCTAATTTTAAACAAATTCAATGTGAAGAAATGAATAACATTGTTTTTTCATAGAGCATCCACAGGTTCTCATAAAAACAAAGAGATATAAAAGCCTTCACTTTTTCCTCAAATTGTGAATTGTAAGAGTATAATAACACAGTCATGTCAAGTTTTTCAAACAGATCATGTCCTTAATAGGTGCGCCAATAAAATGTGTGTAAAATAACATCATACTCCCTAGGATAATGTAGAATATGACTTGTTGAAATTTGTAAATAGTCATTCAATATTTTTAAATTAAAGATCACCTATGTACATTAAGGTAGACGTTAGTTTATTTTGGTTTTTGTTAAAATAAATTTTAAAATAAATTATACACCTTTCTCCATTCCATCCAAAACATCCCTGTTAATTTTGAGAACATATAATATATTGTTGGCTAAGGTGATAACGGGTTGCAAAACGAACACAGTTAACATCATGTCCTTCCATGCGTGTTCTGAGGTAACTTTTTCAGTTGGTGTACTTGTCACTAAACATTAACTATTTCTAAGTAAACTAATTGATATGTGTATTAGTACATCAATTTTCTATATTTCTATGATATTATTATTCGTAAATTAGTTGTTGTTTTTCTAATCCTTGCTGACATTTCTTAAATTTGTATAAAATATAGTTAGAATTTAATAAAATTAGATATAAAATAAGAGGGAGGTAATTGCAGTTATTTCTAATTGTAATATAATTTACTTTAAATTACATCATTTTTCCTTTTTGCTATAAAACGAAGTCAGTAAACCTCATTTCTGTGTATATATTTTTTTTGGTTTTTTGCTCTTAAATATTTAGCTACGAGAAATCTGGAAGAAATGTGTTCTAGAAGCAAGCGTCGTCCTCACAGACAATATGTCCTATACTTTTATCTTTCAATTGATTCTTATATGGAGAGATATTTTGATGAGGAGAGTTATTTGTATTATATACACAATATAATTGCATTAGTATAGTTCATTGTATATTCATGTTCAAAATGATTTTGTATAATCAATCTTTATTTGTAGATCATATTGGTGAAAAAAATTATTGAATAGACAGTATCTTAACAGATACCCATACAGTAATTAAAAATGCTGATGGTTTACCAAAGCCATTTGATTTGCTGGTGTCTGGCAGTTATGATTATTTGTCTAATTGGAACAACAATACCATATGTAGAGCAAATAAATACACTGGACAGAACTTTTCCACTACCGCACAATATATTCGTTATCCACTGAGAACGCAAGTACTTGTAGATGGGTTACAACCTAAAGGTGTATATCTTCAAAACAGTGTTTATATTTTGAAAATTAAATCTGATTTTAAGTGAAATGCAAAACCAAAAAAATATGATTTTATGTTGATATAGATATTTAAAATGCAATATGGTATTTATACATGAACAAAAATCAAAACTTCGGCAAAAACTTATAAACGTTTCTACGTATTCAAACATCCATGGATTTCAAATGTTTTATGTATTAATCTGAAGAGGGTTTTTGGCTTTGATCAAAATAAAATGTCATATTTAGCTCTCAAAAAAATGTATACGATATAGTTTTTCCGTTAGACATTCTGGTTGATATTGACAATACATCTCGTTTCTTTGAAAAATTGGCAATGAATTTCAAACATTGTCACACAGGAAAATGTATGAGCAAAGTATTGATCTATTCGTCTACGTACGAACAGTTTTATTTTATTACGGTTGTTATCTGTCATTCGTGTCAAGCGTGAAGATAGTTTTCTCGTCCCACACTGCACGGGGTTTGACATGAATAATCATTACTAACATTGCTTTATATTAAGTTTGCCTATCCGGCAATGATACTGCAATATTCCTATTGGATATTTGTTAGGTCAAAGGTGACGTTCGAATAGCACACTGGACTATTTTATCTGTCGCAGAGAGATATAGTTACGAAAACATAACATTCTCACCTGAAACTCAGCCTTTTGTCAAATCCGATTCCATTCCAAAGCGTACAAAAAGCTTAGAAATGTCTATTTACGTTTGCCACTGAAGGTTGGGCATATGATGTCAAATTGTTTAGGTATTAAAGACAAGAACAAGTAACACAAACATAGTTTTGCCAAATAGAAACTCGTGATAAATTGACAAAATTTGTTATCACCTTTTGTTATTTAAGTATTATCATAATAATATACTCGTCGAAGGTTCGTCTATTAATATACTGAAATTAGATTACTTGAGTTATTATCGAGCAATATCCAGTTTTCACTTGTTGATTTATTATTTGAATTTAATGCCTCTTTCATCACTGTTGACTATTTAGTGGCGGCCTGTTTTGATTAGTGGATGGAGCCGAATTGTAGAAAAGAACCACTCACCTGCGGCAAGAAAACTGGCAATCCTAGTAAATTCCGATTAAAGTCGAATGTAATATGCGGGTTTGGTTCGAATTCACAACCTCAATATTGACAGCCTAGTGATACAGTAGATGGTGTAGTTAGACCTCTCCACCACCGATACCCCCTGATTTCACTTGTTAATAAACCATTACATTACATAAATAGTGTATTATGTGCTTAAAGGTCAAAGACCATCATTGCAAATATCAGTAAAAAGATAAAAAAACATGTTTTGTTTGGTTATCGATTGACACTTTGTCTATTTATATGTTGTAAAAAGTAAAAACTCGTGACAAAACCTGTGTACCCATGTTTTATATTAAGCTATGCTATGCTAACATATCTATACATATTGATCTTTCAATGGTGTATTAATTATGCGGTTTTAACATTCTGGAACATTTATAACATATATCATTGCTGAATATGAAAATGAGAAATAATACACTTTCAAACATAGTCTACATACAGCAACCAGATCTCAAACATATTTTTTTAAACGATAATGTATATATATATATATATAAATATATTTGTTTTGTGTGGTTTCTGAAAAAAAGTCACAATTAATATTTGTCAAAATATCAAGAGCAAGAGCCAAAATTTACCAAGTAAATACTGCACAGAAATTAACAAAATACCAAAAAGGAGAAATAAGACTGCAGCATGCGATAAGTATACTATTGAGAATAGTTCTGTGGACACATTAAATGCAATAATTTGCTTATGCACTTGCATTTCTTAATTTAGTATACTTTGTACTGTTATTATGCAAAGACATTGGTATATATGTTCGTGGCCTTTAACTGTGTTTACTGCTATTATTTCAGGTTGATTATCATATTCTACATTCTTTGCAGGAACCAATGTTTGTGAAACAAACAACGGCGGTTGTAGCCAGATTTGTTTTCCGTTACCGGCTTACAACAGTACATTATCTTGGTGCATGTGTCCTGATTAGTACGGAATGACATCCGATAATAAGACTTGCAGATCTTTTGGTAAGTTCAAATGTGTAAGCATAATCTGATAATATACATTGTAGTTATATATATATAAATGTAATCAATGACTTCTGTTAAACTGAGTTTTACTGTGCGTATTGCTGTGTGTTTGTTTATTGTACATTGGGTAAAGGTATAGGAGGAAGGTTGAGATCTCACAAAACATGTTTAACCCCGATGCATTTTTGCGCTTGTCCCAAGTCAGGAATCTCTGGCCTTTGTTAGTCTTTTTTTTTTTAAATTTTGGTTCAATTAAATGTTTCGGAGTTTAGTGTTACGTCCATTTTTTCTGAACTAGTACACATTTTTGTTAAGGGGTCAGATGAAGCCCGCCTTCGGGTGCAGGATTGTCTTGCTTTGTTGAAGACCCATTCATTGCCTTTAACTGTATTATGCTCTTTGGTCGGGTTGTTGTCTCTTTGACAAATTCCCCGTTTTCATTCTCATTTTTAAAATAATGAAAAATCATGTTCTGTGGAATAATATAATATATATATATATATATAGGAAAAAAAATAAGACTGAAAATGCACCAAATATTTATATTCAATATGAATATTCACATTTTGTCTATTACAACAACAAATTATTCAAAAATGTTCTCCATAGTATCCTACTGGTTTCACTGTTTAACAGATCTTCAAGGATATGGTTGCTGGCGACGTTGTCAGGGGTAACGTCCATCAGCGACATTATTATTTAGTCCTGAACGTCATAATATAGCACAACGTAGGTACTTAAAACGAAAGTGAAAGTACATAATTATAAAGAAATGCCTTCCAGATTCTCATTTCATCTATTTAATTTAGGACTGTATTTCTTAATAAAATAATTTTCTTTATTAATTCTCATTGGTTCCGTTGTATTATCTGAACACTGATATAATGGAAAAATGAAGAAATTTGGATGATTTGATCTAGCGCATCTAGCAATATGTTCGCTAAGTGGGATTTTTCTTGTGCTCGGGACTCGAATTTGCTGTCTATGTACTGTCATTCGTTTTCTAATGGTATTACCGGTTTGTCCAATATAATTTTCATGACAACCACTGCAAATGATTATGTATAAAAGATTTTCCGATGTACATGTAAAACTGTTCTTGATTTTAAAAATGTGTCTTAATTTAAAAACGAATTTTACTCCTTCGGATAAGTATAAACAAGATTCACAGTTTGGTCGTCCACATTTGTGTACCTTTGGTTGACTATTTTCAGTTTGGAATGTTGCGAGGGTCAACAATTTTTTTAATGATTTCGGTTGCCGTTTGCTTTTAATAACTTTGTGTGAATTAAATAATTTCATCATCCTCTGGACGCTCTGTAAAAATGGTAACTTGTTATGTATAGTGTTGAAACCTTCATTATTTCTGGGGTTGTGAGTAGAAATGTACGGTAAAACGTTTTCTTTTGAATGTGATTTAGTTTTCCGTAATTCCTGTAAGCTAAAAGATTCGGCTCTAGTTATTCCGTCATCAATTATTCTCTTCGGTCCAAGAGTATGTATCTTAATTCATTTAATCTTGTATCCCTTAATTCTGGATTTGAAATGATAGTACATATGCGTTTAACTAGGTTATATGGTATATTGACTCTAGTATGTTTTGGATGACATGATGTAAAAAGTAGATATTGTTTGGAATCAGTCGGTTTATAGAAAATATCGGTTTCTATGTTGGTTCCGTTCTTTAAGATAAGATTAAGATGTCTAAAAAAGGTAATTAGTTACTATTGTATTCCATAGTTAATTGAATGTTCTCGTTCATTTCATTGAGTAAATCTTTGAATTCCATTAACATATCTATGCTGTTGTTCATTAAAAATAAAACAGTCATCTAACATGTCTAAGTATCTTTTCCAATTTTCATCAAAAATTTATCAAATAATGTCAAAATTTTCGTTGTGATCTCCGATACATCTGAATCTCAAGGTATCCCATCACTAGATTGGCATATGTAGGTGCAACTTTTGTACCCATTGCAGTACCTGATTTTTGGCGATACATTTTGCTGTCGAACATGAAATAATTGTTATGAAGAGTAAACCGAAGTCCTTCAATTATAATTTCCTTTTCTATTCGGTTAGGTAGTTCGGTTTTGTTTTTTTCTATCCAAAAATTAATGGCTTCTATTCCGTATTTATGAGGAATATTCGTGTAGAGACTGACGACATCAAATGACACTATTATAGTGGTCTCTTCTACGTTGTTAGGGAGATGGTTTAACATATCTAAGTCGTCTCTTATAAAACTTGGAATGTGTTTCAAAAAAGGTTTTAGAAGAATATCTAAGAAGTTACTCAGTCTGTGCGTTTCACATGCAGGACCAGCAACTATTGGTCGCATTGTTAGATCGTTTGGTGCACATATATTTATACAAGAACTTTTGACAAGCTTGCATGCTTCTTTAATCTTTTGACTTTTGTGAATTTTGGGAAGTCCATAGATCTGACTGGTTTTACATTTGAAATTTGTGATATAATCGCATTCTTTCTTGATTAACCCTTTACGATACAAATTAACTAATACAATTAATTTAGCAATATATATATACATTATTTTTTCGAAACATGTAAACTAACTAAATCGTTGAGATACATAATAAATAGTAACTTATTGTGTTCTAGCAATGGACAAATCTAGAAATTTACTTCTAAAACTCGTAATTGATTTGGTCCTCTATTTATTTTGATTTTAGCGTAACTGATAAGTTTTGTGTAGACGAAACACTCGTCTTTCGTACCATAATGATTTATAAAAGAGCTTTAAATAGCCGATGCATGCATTCATGCTATGAAAAAGGTAGACGTTGATTACATTTGCATGCCCCTTTAATAATGCTATTTTACAGAACCCCCTGAAAATATAATCATAGATGTTCGTTCAACAAGTGTAACTGTCTCTTTGGAATTTTCAATTAAATTAGATCATATCGTTCAAACAGAGCTCCAATTTTTTTACGGGGATGGATGTAAATACACAATCGGTGTTAACACTCATTTCGGCATGTCACGATCGAAGGAAAAAGGATCGGGTAATCGCTACAACAGTTTGAAAATATCCATTGACATCTGTAACAACGATTTTCCTTCCGGGGCAGCCAACTAATGATGGAACCCGTAAAACATGAAATGGGATGGCTCTAATTTCACCACTAGTCACCATCTTTTAAAATGCTAACTTTAAAATAGATACGAAATTATTGTAGAACATGGAAGCTTTAGAAAATGCAAGCTTTAGAAAATGATTTCAGCTAGGAGGTTTATTCTGCATATGCTGCTCCTGATTGAATAAATCCTTAGGATTGCTGAAATACTCCTTGTTTTCGTTTATTCATTTTTAATTTCTAAATGTAAGTCAAGATATGAAGCAGACTTAATAGTATGTGTAGTATCCTTTTTTCAAATTCGATCGGATAGATGATCAGGTCAAAACTGTAACCAAATTTGGATAACAAGTACTTAGTGAGAGTATAGCGGAAAATGGTATAATGGAAGAATGATGCTAGATTTTTCACTTTTCCGAAAAAGCCAATCAAATGAGGAACAGAACAAATCGTAAAGATGAGGAGCAACGTTGTTTCCAATAAGAATATAGATTGTCTGGTTTTTTGTTTAAATCATCCTTTTTGGTCAAAAGTAATACAAATGTCGGCAATAAACAAATCTAGTATATAGAAAATGTCAATTGTACAAAACAATAAGAATGTATTTGCTTTTTCATTTCCTTTTAACAATGTTTGATACAGAGTAGGTAAGGGAAAACCGAAAAGCAATGTTTGCAAAGCGTTAACAATGCCGTTTAAATATATAAAATGCACATTTTAAAATAACTTCCTGCTTGTCTCTGTTTACAGCAATCATTAACTTAAGTGTGTTCAACACTTATAAAACGTAATGAATAGAACATAATGTGAGTTTTTCTTTACACACTTTACAGATATATGTTCAACGCAGGTAGCAAACATATGACTATTCTGTAAAGTATTAGAACTTATTGTTGGTTTTAATCTTCCATAGAGATCATTTTGATATTGTCAAATCTGACCCTTCAGTGTTTCCTTGTTCCAACATAACCTTTGTTGGTTTAAGCTATTGCATGATGTTTATATACACTCTGACACAGAAATGTGCCAGATTGTTTCTACGGATGCTTTTAATTTGGAACAAAATAAATCTGTCTCAATAACGTTTTATGTATTGTGCCTTAATATATTCTGCTAGTGTTAAGTCCTCTTATTCTACTACTGTGAATCAAATTTCACATATAAAAGTTTATTTAAATTTTTTGATTGCCAAACACACAATCCCGCGACCCCCTTTCCTTTATATAACTAACATACATATAAAAATAAGAAGATGTGGTATGATTACCAATGAGACAACTCTCCACCAGAGACCAATTGACATAGAAGCTAACGACCATAGCTCACCGTACGGCCTCGAACAATGAGCAACATCCATACCGCATAGTCAGTTAAAAAAAGCCCCGATAAAAATAAATGTAAATTAACAAACAAGAAAACTACCGGCCTGATTTATGTACTAAACACTGAACGAAAAATAAATATGACACACAGCAACAAACGACAATGACTGAATTACAGGCTTCTGACTTGGGACAGACACTTACATAATGTGGTGGGGTTAAACATGTTAGCGGGCGCCCAACCCTCCCCTTAACCTGGGACATCGGTGTAACAGTACAAAATATGAACAAACTATAAAAATCAGTTGAAAATGGCTAAGCTCACCATATCGATACAAAGCAAACTTAAAGGTAACAGAAACACTGACCGGATGTGGCAGGGTATTTATACATCCTCTGATAATGTCCATATGGAGTGATTGCTTATTTTCTGTTTCTGTATCATATGCAAACATTATTGTGTGGAATGTCTTAATAAACTTGAAATTCACAGCAAAATTAAGAATCCAACATATGGCCTACATCATTAACGAAAATGGAGAATTTAGAAAATCATAAATGAGCATTCCTGTTATTTGATATTAACATAAAAAAGTAAAAGTAAATATCTCATTTTGTTTGTTTGATACCTTAACTCCACAAACATACAAATGAAGAACGATATATATCATGGTCGTCACCTCTAACCACCATCACTTCAAAGTATAAGATGGCCTTTAGAAATATTGTAATAAGATATCAAACAGATTTAGATTCTTAAAAATTCTTAATGTTTTCTACAATATGTGCAATCACAACTCTCAGAATGTTGTTATATTATCAAAACTTTAAATATTGCTACGCTTTTTCATATTACTCAATGGAAAGATCAACTAAATTGTCGGATTGAACAGAGCTTTGTCTATAATAATGGCAAGCATCGATACGAATTCCTTGTTTTAGTTCATGACAAAACTAACTTTGTGAAGAAACTCACATATTGCCACAACAAATACACCAACTATGATATAAATAAAATGCTGTACTTTTGAATCAACAACACATTTGTATCGACAACATATTTATTTGTTGGTTTACTCTTCAATGGGTAATAATTGTGCACCACTACTGACTGACTTGTTTTTGTAGTATGATATCCTGTCACTCTATAACCTTCATTTCAATGAATGCTCACATCTCAGGTATTCCAGTGATCTTGAGATTATGGATACTAACGAAAGTAGGGGTTCTGCATCATATCGTGATCGTTTCTTTGATAATGACAGAGATGGACGACTTAACAAGAATATATCTTCTGCCAATCGCATGTCGTTTACATATCGCAGTTGAACTGTTATGCCTGTAAACGTTCACACGATATGGTCTTCATGATTATGAGTGTGCTTCGTACACAAACATCTGACCAACAGAGTTATACGGGAAAACTAGTGAAATCGATGCTACTTAATTTCAACGGTCACTATCACGAATTATATTGGCATGGCGAATGATGTTTTAAAAGCAGGAAACGCAAACACTGTCGCCTCACCCAGTCTAAAACTTATAGAGTCTCTTCTATCGATCGTCCTTTTCTGATCAAACATTGGCATTCGACCATGTCGTAGGATTAAACATTTTACATGTATTTCATTCTCTATTCTTTGAATCGATGGGTTTTGAATTTTGAGCTATCTTAGGTTAAGACAAGAAACATTTGTAGCAAGAACTGCTGACCCTAACGAGCATCTAAAATTTACCCGGATTTTGGTGGGGTTCGTTTTGCTCTATCTTTAGTTTTATGTGGAAGGTTTTGTTATTGTTGTTTGTGTACTTTTTTTTCAATGTTTACAATGTAATTTTCTATTCTCATTGGGTTGTTGGTGTCTTTTGTAATTTGTTATTTATGTTTTACATAAACACTAATCAAACACTATTATATTTTGTTATACTAGTTAATGGTGGATGGAGTATATGGTCTTCCTGGGGTGCCTACTTTTGTGGAAGACATCAGTTTCGAACACGTAATTGCACAAATCCGTCACCCATATATTGTGGACGGTATTGTGAAAGATATTCTGCAGAGCAAAGAAACTGCAGTGTCTTCTGCTATTCAAGTAGGTAAAAGTTATCATAATCAACACGTTGTTTAATTTTGATGTTCTTTGATTAGAATTTCCGAAAGGAATTGTAACAAATGACAGCTAAGCATTATTATATTGTGTATTATCAGTTATAAAGTTAAAATGTATATTTAAAAAAAAACATGATTAAATTAGATATTTTGATAAATAATGATAGGAAAATATTTCTATAAATATAAAACTAGGTATATACAGAATTCAGAACAGGGTATTATGTGTTCATACATTACACTTTTATAACTTGTTTACGTATCCTCTTTGTTAACGCATTAATATTTTTTCGGATGATTACTAACATATGCATCCGTAATAATGAACATGCTTTTGGAGAAGATGATTTTGACTAGTTTATAACGAAAAGAACCTAATGTATATAATAGTTACACTTTTCACATATGATAATCTAATTAATTGCAAATGTTTGTGGATAAAGGTAAACACCGAATTAAAATATACACTGTTAATGTTATTTGTATGAAAACGACCTGTGTGCTTTAAGGTCTCGTTTAAAGCATTCTTTATATAAAAATTTCAAATGCTATTTTCAAATAATTAAGCATTGACGCATTATCAATATATTAAAATGTGTTATTATGCAATTAATATATACCATACCATGTCTTTCTCTCAGACTACGATAACATACCATTTGACAGTTTTAACCAAAATGAACAGAAAAAAAGAATGACGATTTTGGTCACACGTTTTATAAATGTTTTAAACAGTTACATTTACAAAAATTCAAATGTATGATTTTTTTTTAATTTCAAAGCAATGTAAATGCAAAAGCGACAATAAGAAGAACATTCATACCATATCGCATACTCTTAGTACCAAAGTACAAATATATTTAAAGGTTATAGTGTGTTTTATATGATCAAACAATCAACAAATAGTTTATAAATAAAAAAAATAAAACGTTCTTAGTGTTATATTTGAAATTAAATATCAAGTGACGCCTTGAATGTGTTATTAATCAATATTTTTCAAAGAAAAGTTTCGAGCAGTACACTTGATTAAATGCCAATACCTTTATACTATACATTTTCACGGTGTTAGTCGTTTAAACAATGTTGAAAATGAGTAAAAACATGGTATGGCGTTTTGTTTTTTTTCTTCCAGATAACCTAGACGAAACAAATGCTCTAATGCAAATCGTCTGTCTACAAATATGATGTATTATTCAGAACCTGATTGAAAATGGTCATATCGTCAGTATAAAGAATATGTAAAACGTTCACTTTGCTGTAACACCAAATGCTATCGAATTGAAAACAAATACAATAAGAATGAATTTCCTTGCGATCTTTCTAGCTGTGTTCTAAAATGGAACTTACATGACTGTCAAACTATAATATTGAAGCAACGATTAGGAAATCTCATGTATGTGATCGCCTTTTAAGAATAGATAAAAATGCCAATATACCTACATCTCAAATGAACAGATTTTTCCTTCCTGATATGTGTATGGTTGCTTTATATTTTTTAAAAACCATTACTGCACTTGTAAATCAATTTTGATCTAAAACGGTCATTTTGATCGGAACAGCTCTGGACAATACCTAATTAGGTAATTTTTAGTCTTTCAGTCATTTTGCAGACTTAGTAACTGCGGCCAATCTAATACTGTTCAGACAATTCGCTTGCATATAGATAAGATCTGTTCAATCTGTGTTCAGACTGGTCAATAGTTTTCATTTATCTATAAGTATCATCATTATACGGAATTGTCTGATAAGCTACTGCATAGTACGAAATTCACTGCTAGCGAATTGTCTTAGCAGGCTTATAATTGTGTACGCAAGACGTGCATTTTGTCTACATGCGACTCACTGGTTGCTATGGAATAAAGCAATTGGGAGGTCAAACGAATAACAAAATCTATAATAAGCGAGAAATAACAAATCCAAAACAACATGAACAACTCACCAATTCTGATTGAAACAATCTATGCTTAAGGGAAAGAAACATCACTATTTCGATTGATTTGAAAATCTTTTGAATTTGGGAACAGTTAAGGTTCAAACAAACTGTACACAACAAATGATCCGTAAATGTAATTTAATGTCAGCACATGAGTGAAGGCTACTGGGTTTGTGATACATTGATGTATCCCCGGGAATGAAACGTCAACCAATAGGCAGTTAGTGACACAACAAATATATAGTAAGTGTATGTAAACAAATAACCGACTAAATCATCACGTTAGACAATAGTTAACTTTACGGTATGAGTTGTACTCATTGTTGAAGGCCGAACAAAACACAAAACTTACTAAAATCCGCGTCTTTTAGACTCTGATGGATATCAACAATTATGAAACAACTCTTTATCTTATAATGAAATTTGTGCCTTAATGAACTTTAAAGCTAATGCATTGTGTCTTTTTTCCGTGGGTATTGTTTTTGCAATGTACAAACAAAAAACAAAACACCTCCTATTTACTATCTACGCTACTTTAGGTGAAGATTTTAAAATTTAAATTGAAACGCGATAACAAAGGAATATTCAAACCTATTAAAAAAAATACATGACAAAAACGACAAAATATCAAAAGACAAACAACAGTCAACAACGCACAATATAAGCTACGTGAAATATATATCAATTGAACAGCAATCAAACTGACACAAAAACCGAGAGGACATTCAGATATTAAACAAATATCAACACAAATAGTTTACCAGTAGAGATTCGAATTCATCGTTTCCCATTAGGATAGTTACACTGCATTTATGTTCAAATTGTAAAGTTCTCTTCTGATGTCATTTGTATAAACATAATATATTATTTCTGATTTTAATTTTTTTGTCCCGAGTTTTGCTTGGTTGCTTACTAAATGTTCTATCGAGCTACATGTTAAGCGACTAACAGTAGATATGTCAACCATTTCGGTCGATTTACATTTGTGTATCCTTGCACTTTGAATGAGATCACTGCTGTTTAATATTATATTTAATTCTATTATGATTCGGCAATGGTATACCTTTACTGTTTGTACATACAAAATATACATGGTGCTTAAATAGCTAGGGAAGCAAATTTTAAATTATTTGAACAACAATTACTGACAAGACTTCGTTGTGCCTTTAAAAGACCGTTGCTAGCTTTCTCAAGAAATAGTTACATTATTTTTTTGGATAATTTACGAATTGAATTTAGTTGAAATATAATTTAAATGTTTTCTACGTCATATTCTTCTAAAATCGTGCAATGACTACACAGAATTGTTGTATTTAATATTTTTGCACTTATGTTTGGTCTTTACAACCCACGTAGATTTTTTAAAGGTAATATTAAACCAGTTTTTAACTAGTTGTCTATAATATAAAGTTTCAACATTCGCATTGCTTTAAATTATGTCAACACGTAATCATAACGATTCATCTTTGCTGAATAGGATATAGGACTGACCAGCAAGATTTTAAAATAATATTATTAGTATTTTTAGGGTGTTGATCAATCATATTACCAATACAAATATTTGAATAATTTTGACATAAATTTTTTTCTAGTTTTATATCCTCGAAATATAAGGTAAATGTGCACATTCAATTTCAGTAGTGTTTGCTTATGTACTTATTTAACATCATTATCATAAAAAAAAAAACTCATTTGCAATAACATCTTAAGCCATATCGCATTTAACATTAACTGTCATTCTGTTCATTCGTTTTAATTCTTTAAGAATGTTAATACAATTTATGAAAACGTTATCATCGTTATGGTTTGGTTACATGTACACATCTAACATATTGTATACTGAAAAATACGCATTGACCGTATGAGATGGTTTTTCGAGAAAGAAATTTTCTGAAGAAACAATCATTTTTTTTTTAGAACTCAAAGCGTTAAAAATGTTAAAACTAACAGACCGTGCAGACCACACGACTGGCAGAGATATGTTCGAATTTTCTTATACAAACATTAAGTTTTATAGAAACATGCAAATGCAATTAAAGGATCCAGGATAAACATCCCTCAATCGAAAAAACGAATGAAACACAGTTTATGTATAAACACACGTCTGCTATGAAAAAATGTATTTGTTTTAGATTACTTGTCTAAGTTATAAAATTTCTTGTTTTAATTTTCGGACGACATTTATCGAAACGTATATGCAATCCTTTTAATTTATTTTTCTGGTTACTTGGGCCCTTGAGATCACCCCCCATTTATGGTTGGATTCATTTTGCTCTCTCTTTAGTACACAAAATACAACATTGAAAGATAAAGCCTGAGCAACACGAACTCCACCAAAAACCGGGTTTTTTGTTGTTAATAAAACTCACCAAAGACACAAATCGTATAATAAAATTTGGTACACCAGAAGCGCATATCGTCTACATAAGATTTGTCAGTAGCACTGTAAACAAAACAAGTGAAGGCCACATCAAATACATAGCCCTGGAACATTAAAAAAAACATCAAGAAGTTTTGAATAAAAATGGCTAAGCAATCTACGGATTGGAATAGAAGAACAATATTGATTCGATTTATTCATCAATCGTTTATTTTGTTGAAATAAATATCGTTCAAATACTTTCAAATTACACTATATATACCCTCATTATTTACCAATCCTGATAAAAGGTATATTAAACAAAATCCTACTAAAGGAAACGTTATTTAGGAATGTGCCATTCAAATGAATCATATCAACTCTCCTCACGATTTCACATTACCTTGCACGCATTATGAAGGAATGTATATCGAGAGGAGTGAAAATCATATCGTTCGTCTGTCTTGCGAAATATAAATACAGATGGTACACTATTCATCTCTACTTGTTTACTTATCCCGTCATGTAATTCCTCAAATAGTCCACTCAAACTATAAACTGTCACTAAATTGTTCAATTGATAAAGGAGGAGTTTTATTGAATCAGTTTATCATATGTATTGGCAGAAATATGGAAAGAAGACTAAAAAAGTAGGCTAAACGATTCCTACATTACATATTATTCCTCGACAGTTTATACAAAACAAACGATGATTGAGGTTTAGGAATGCCAAGTTACTTGCTTTTCAAAGCAATGTCATATCGATCTAACAGTATCAATAATCGAGGTGTTATTGAACAAAACAATGATCCGTATTCACATATGTCGGTATTTATCCATTTCCTAGTATTTTCGAACGTATTAAACAGGGTTTTGTTCCCTATAAGGGCATACAGTAGGCTACTAATGAAAACACTTTGTTCAAATTAAAATATCGTAGAAGTAGATCTGTCGGTCATTAAGTAAAACATTAATAGTTTATGATTGTTGTTCGAACGATTATAACGGTGTTCAATGTTATCTTTAATTATATCAAAATTTGTCAAATTGAATGTACCCTTTAACTGCTTTTACTTTTAATGTATTTTGAAAATTAAGGCAATTTTTTATAAAAAGTAAAGTAACTAAAATACCGAACTCCAAAGAAAACTCAAAACGGAATGGATTTTACCGTCTGCTTTTTAATATATACATTAAAATAATTTTTTAAATCTAACCTTTTAAAGATGTTTGCTCACTTTCATAATAAATAACATTTCGCAAATATAATTCTTTTGAACAAAATTAAATGTTTTCCACGTCATATTCTTTTCAAACCAAAATGAATGGTTTAATTTTCGCTTTCAATTTTTACAACAGATTCTAATGCTTAGGCGTCTTTACAAACACAGTAGAATTTTACCGGGTTTATCCGAATTGTTTCATTTCCAAAATTAAAAACATTCACATTGCACCTGTTGCATTTAGAGTATGACAACAGTTTTTGTGAACGAAGAGTGTTTTTAAAGATACATATTTGCTGTATATATTTTGCATAAATAGCTATGAAGTTGAAGTCCAATCAACTTGAAACTTAATACACATGTTCCCTATGATATGATCTTTTTATTTTAATGTCAAATTCGAGTTTTAACCCCAGTTTCACGGTCCACAGAACATAGAAAATGATAGTGCGAGTGGGGCATCCTCGTACTATGGACACATTCTTGTTTTTTTTTTATAATTTACGAATTGAATTTAGTTGAAATATAATTTAAATGTTTCCTACGTCATTTTCTTCTCAAATCGTACAATCACTACACAGAATTGTTGTATTTAATTTTTATGCACTTACGTTTGAACGTCTTTACAATTAACGTAGATTTTTAAAAGGTAATATTATACCAGTTTTAAACTAGTTGTCTATAATATAAAGTTTCAACATTCGCATTGCTTTAAAGTACGTCAACAAGTAATTATAACGAAGTGTACACCTAAAGATTCATCTTTGCTGAATAGGATATAGGACTGACCAGTAAGATTTTAAAATAATATTAACGGTATTTTTATCATGTTGATTAATCATATTACCAATATAAATATTTGAAAAATTATGACATACATTTTTTGTAGTTTTATATCCTCGAAATATAAGGTAAATGTGCACTTATTGTTAAGTTAACAGATTGATAAGTAAGACTGTTTAGAATTATATTATTGATATTGTTAACATCTTTGTCATCCATATTTCATCTACAAATATTTACATCATTTTGACAAATATTTATTGTAAATTAAATAAATCCCAACTTGAGGCAAATGTGCATAGTCAATGTTGTTTTTATGAGTATTTGCCTTTGTACTGATATAGTACATTTTAATAAATTGTAACATACATTGGATTCCTCGTTTGATTTTATCTATTCAATTTAATCATATTTAAATAACATTTTATTCTGGCAAGCGTGTTACGTTTTTATACAAGTAAAAAAAGCTAAAGGCAATCTAAATGATTATCAGCAAAGAAATCCTTTAACCTTTAGACCAGCATGATTTGTTTACATGGAATCATTTAACAGATTTATAAACTAAAATAAAACCAATTTATTACACATGTAAGATGATCGTAAGTTAATTAAGGCGACAGCAGTTTACCGATTTTTAAACCACGAAAATCGATTCAGAATTGTTTCCAAGTTTTAAAACAACAACCCTTTAATTATGAGAACACAACTCATTTTGATTCAATAGGTGTCCTCGGTCCTCAACTGTAAACGATTTGATGCATAAGATATCCAGACTACATGTTTATATAAAACAGACAAGCGGATGATAACGTGAAAGATTATATTACAACGGTGACTGCTGCGTCCCAATTTTTGATGTTTTTACCTAATATGTCTGTTTGTTTTGATCACCACACATTGTTGTCAATATAATGGAATTCTATTTAACGGAAATGACTACGAGAAATAACAAATTAAACAAAGTAGTCATACATGACTGTCGGATCAACCGCCATTCAAAAGTAGACTAAAACATGTGTAGACCTTTAAGTAACAATAAATACATACTAGACTTTTAGTAGCACAATTATTAGATATAATAAACATCAATCGATACCTCCGGAAAAATAAAAGTAAGAAAGCATGTAAAATAAGCAATACATTGAAACTCATTTGCTATGGAACACTAATATTTTCGTACAAATAACACATATGTACAAAAATTGTTACAGTTATAAGAAAATCAACAAAAGTGTAGCCAATTTAAAAAAAAATTTGACAGTCTATGCAAAAGGTCTGAGGCCAAAACGTAGAATTGGAGCATTGTTTTTAAAATTATTGACGCCAATTCAATTCGTTGTCCTTTAAATGATCGATTTTTGATTGGTCTGCACGAGATGGTGACATTCAAAATTTGTCTCCCGCTGATCCATTGGATAGAGTGAATTATCTCCTTTGTATTTATTAGTTAAAATCTGGCATTTTGACATGAAGTATAATAAAATTAATAATCCCACGATACATGTGAGATACTCAATCTAATTATACAACCTGAGTCACGATGTTCATGATGTTGGAAAGTAGTTCAAAACCGGAAAAATGTAAAACCTTTCTTATTTCAATCACCAAACAATATTCTGTTCGTTCCTTTTTTGATGTAGGAATTGAAAAGACCGAGGTCGCAGTCATATTGCGCATTGTTAATCAGATGACTGACAGGCTACTTTTGACAAGAAGTGGAACGGCTCAATTACAAATTCTATTGAATGCAATTTGAGAGTTTAACGTATTTCGTTTGTCGTATAACAGGTCGGGAACACTATCTTATATGGATATATGCATAAATTAGCATACACATGTCCTCGCAAATATAATTGTTTATTTACGTATGACGCCATTTTTTTACCTGGGTTTTTGACCAATCCACTTAATGAGTAACAATGCATGATTGACTACTACGTGTTAACGATCAATCGAGAACACGTGTTATTTACTAAAATACAACACATTTTTTCATGCATTGCGGGATAAACAATTTCGCTTAGTTTTTCATATTTTGTATCTATATTTATCGGTTCCATGCTCAGATTAACGAATAGTTGTTTCTATGCGAAGAAACGAGTGTTTAAATTTTCCGAAATATAGCAATTAATATTATTGATGATTAAATGAAAATTTCAGATTTTCGTCCACAAAACAGTAACGAAACTTTCATTTGGATAAATAAAAAATAAGGGGTCCTGGAATTTTGAGTGGGTTCGTTGAAAAAGTGGAAGACTTAGATTGTGTCTAAATCTGTTGGAGTCACTAAATGTCCCAGCTTTTCACATGCTTGATTCAATGATATTGTCCCTACTTTTATGATTAAAAACGTCATTTAAACCGAGGAAGGGTATGTATTTATTACCTTGTATCTAAGAAACAAGCATAAACACCTTTCAGAAATATTGGTTTTCCATAACCTTGAAAAGAGATATTTACTATATAATTCTGTGTAAATATTTATATATATATAATTTGACACGTACAGTACATGTATAAAACATATATCAACTATCATAATTCAGCGAAACTGTCCAAGACATTTCTAAATTCTTGTCTGACAACAAAATCTATAAGAATTAATTTTTTTGACATATTTCACATTTTTGGATTTTTTTTTTCTATCTCAAACTGTTTCCTTTGTTCTGAAGGTAACGACGCAATATTTTCTTGCAAGAGGTTGTAGCTTCGATTTGTTTTCGATTTTGCAAAGTTATTTTTTTTTCTATTGTAAATATTTTTGAATTTTTGATATTTTTAACGGGCTCGGATATTTGCCAATATTAATAAAATCATTTATGATGATATCCACGTTTATGTGCGACAAGGACGTGAACTTTGATATGTTTTGTGAAAATTGCAGTGTTGGATCTAAACCTATTATATTTCTTTCAATTATTGGATACAAGTATTTTGTATTCCTTAGTTCTGTCAGAAACAGGTCACTTTTGGATTGGAATTACTGTATTTGTCTCGGTTGCTTCATATGTTCCATTCTTCAAAGTAAGGAATTAATGTTCTTTGTCAAAATTTCAAGAGTATCGTAATTCTTAATTACTGTTTCCGATTTTATACTGTTAGCCACAATATATATATATATGATTTTTAATGTTACGATTATATTCCTTTGATATGAAATCTGAACCCTGATGAGCATCGATGCGACCACTACGGGAAAAAGAATTGTATTTATTTAAACAAGTTCGATTATCAATGTTATTTGAATGGCATTATACAGAATACAAAAAAAACCAAAAGCATATAATTATATAGAGAGAGGCGTGCAACCGATTTGACAGGTTTAAAAGAGCGCAAATAATATTTATACTAGACAGTGTTAACTTCATTGGATATTTCACTGTTTCGCGTGAAATTAATGCACATGCATTGTATTTAATGATTATACATAACATATATAAATGTTGAGACTGAACACGAATGCGGCAACTTCCATATTAGCCGTAAACCGTGTGAAAATTCGCGTTTATGGCATATTTGATAGATTTTTCATAATTAAGCTTGAATTTGAGCGTTTTTCTATGACCAAATCAGTTCAAATCTCTAACATAAACTAGTTGATCGACTGAAGTAGACACTTGGGTGTTTACAAAATGTCAAACAACTTTTCATCAGATGTTCTTCGAATTTCAGGCCGAAATTAGCCCTTGCCGGACATTCTCCTTTGAGAAAGACTATATTACCATGATTACATGTACTAATACTTACTGAATTATTTGCATATTACCCAAATAGTATGAAAGTTACGTTTAAGGAAGTTCGCTACTCTGTCTTAAAGTAACAAGCTTATTAAAAGACTGTAATAAATTGATAATATATAAATAATGAAATGAAAAAGCAGAAAAAAAAATATTGGTTTTTGTCCTTCATGTCGTTGTTTTTCAGATATAAGCCATTGCAAATTTGATGGGAAATTATTTTTCTCTAGATTTTTTATACGTTTAACATTGACCCCTTTTTTGCTTTTAAATACTATGATTTTCTTTGGAAAACATTGCTTTTTAAACTGCATGTTATGAAAAGAAAAGTATTGGTTAGCGCTCAAAATTGTTAATGGCACTACATGGATAAAAACCAGAGGATTCCGAGTATCTGACAAAAGTCAAAAACAAGAGCAGCAAACATCCTTAATCACAGTGTGTAGTTGAAAAGAAAATTTATTTTAGATTGATCTGTACGTATTCTGTATTGAATTACTTTCTCGATTTTTAATTAAGCATCTTGGTGACGAGAATGTTTTAAAGAATTGTTCGCACATGTAGATAATATTAGAAGATTTCTTCAACCATTACACCGATAGTTCGTGTTTTTTTATATATATATGCGCAAGTGTATCAGTTAATACCGATTCATTTGTCAAATTCAGAACTTTTATTTCGAGAAATATATCTTCCGATGTAATGTTCCTCATTTACCCGAGACTCCGACAATGTCCAAGGTGACATTGAAACAATGTAAAACCAAAACAAGTCAACAAATAAGTAAAAAAGAAATTCTTTTGGACAAGGGCATTTGATACCATATACAAACATAGCTTCGGGGCATAAAGGAACACCCTATGCATCTAGAAGTTCCTTTTAACTCATTTATCAGGCAGTAGAAAGCATTCCAGATAAAGGTGTTCCTTCAGCTGTACGGGATTTATAAATACACATCCATTTTCAGTCAAATTGGGGACGTTAACATCGTTTCGTATAAACAAGTGTCACACTCTTTGCACGTTAAAAACCCTTGCGCCATTTCGTTTTAAGGTCTGAAGGTGGCCTATTTTCAGGCGAATTTCTGCTCTATTAACACAATTTCTGGTTGAAATTGAATTTCTCTACCATCGTGATCGACTTTACAGAGCTAACCTTTGAATGTTGCTAAGTTATTATATTCCGAGATATAAATAATACAACTTCACACAAAAGGATGTACAAAACAAGAGAAAAATTAAAGAAAGCAATTGTAGTTAATATAAAAAAAAATCTCGTTACCACGCCACGATTGCGATGAGGTGAAGTTTAAAGAGTCTTTACATTAAAATGGCAATTGAGACAACTTTCCTTCAAATAATGGTAGTTCGTCCAAGATTTCTTAAGAAATTTCACACTTCAAAAAAAGTTAATATCGCTTTCTTTGCTGTTTTGTTTTATTAAAAATAAAACATATGCAGAATTGTTGTTTTATTTACATCATGGTTTTCAAAATTTTAAAGTTATCTATTTTTAATATATTTTCATCCATTACGTTTTGAACGATAACGAATATTCGTATATGATTTATCGTTCATAAGCATGATTAGAGCTGAAATTTTCAGTTCAAATTACTTATTCAATTCAT